ACAGGCCAACTTAGGAAGGACCACACACCATGGACCCAGCATGGCCCAGTGGAAAACGATCGAAAAGAAAATAGTTCAGGACGGCATGACCCAGTGGAAAACAGTGGAACGAAGAAAATAGTTCATAGACCGGCATGGACCAAGGAAGCAACTGAAGGACACGAATGAACGGCCCATGTGGACTTGCATGGTGGACCAAGGAAAACAGTGGACATGAATGGAACGGCCACAGGGACTCAGCATGGTATGTGGATGGACCAGTGGAATAGTGGAACGGAATAGCCCCAGGGACTCCAGCATGGAAGGATGGACCATGGAAGGAATCAGTGGAAGGAAGGGAGCCCAGAAGGGAAGCAACTGTGTCAGTGAACGTCTGTCATAACGGTCCCCAGGACCTGCTACTTAAGTATGTGTACTTTATCCAAGGGAAGCAACTGTGTCTGAGATCGTCTGTCAGAACAGTCCACAGGGTCTGCTACTTTAGTATGTGTACTTTATCCAAGGGAAGCAACTGTGTCAGTGAACGTCTGTCATAACAGTCCACAGGACCTGCTACTTTAGTATGTGTACTTTATCCAAGGGAAGCGACTGTGGTCCATGATATGTCACCATACTTGTATGGTGTCAGTTTGAGTATATTACATAATGCAATTGCAGTCAGATGTCCCATAGAGCTATGAAAGGAAACAAATATCTCTGGCATATTGGCAGGATAGGGTTAAACATGCAGTTTGTATGTGTGTTATATATCCTTGAGATAAGCTGGATCTCAATTGTGCTGTCAACACACATTATGTAACAGCATTTGGGTTCATTACCATAGCTAATAGCCGTGAACTAAGTGACCAACATCCGGCCTGTCATGAAAGTTATATAAACTGGCCCTGTTTGGGATGACCGCAAGCTGACTAACCACAGAGGTTCAGTAACTGGCAGGGGGTTCAGGTTGGAATGTTCTCATTTAGTGGGGACTTGAATGGACAGTATATCGGCCGTTCTTAAGCGTTGTTTGTAGACATGAGGCAGAAATCCCTGACCTTACTCATACTTGCTTTAATCTGTGAGAGATATTTATGATCTAGAGACCACATGGTGGAATTAGTGACTGGACTTTGTAAGCAAACACACTTATTCTCAAATGATAGGAGTAAAGCCCAATGCAAGCCTTTCAGTGAGCTTTTAATATTGTTATGTATAGATATATACATATGCTACTACAACTCTAAGGTGAAAGGAGAGAGAGGTGCGAGGAGAGAGAAAAGTGGGAGAGGTGCAAGGAGAGAGGTTTGTGAGGAGAGAAAGGTTCGAGTTGAGAGAGGTGAAAGGCACGAGAGGAGAGTGGGGTGCGAGGAGAGTAGGGTGCAAGGAGAGAGGTGCAGGGAGAAAGAAATGAGAGGAGAGAGGTGAGAGAGAAGAGGTGCCAGGAGAGGTTTGAGGAGAGTAAGCTGCAAGGATAGAGAGGTTGGAGGTGAGAGAAGTGATGTAAGGAGAGTGGGATGCGGAATGAGAGAAGTGTGAGGAGAGAGGTGGAGAAAGGAGAGAGGTGGTGCAAGAAGAGAGGTGGAGCAAGGAGAGAGGTAACGAAGTGAGAGCTGTGCAAGATATTGGAGTGACTTGCTTTCCATAGGACTTCACTGACACCAAGTAGAGGATAAATATGCTTAAGAATTATTTTTTTACATTTTAGGAAATGTTCTCAATGAAAACTTCATACTGATTATGTTTATCTAAATGCATTTACATGTCCAAAATGAAACATTAAGCACATGAATGGACTGTGTAAGGTATGACAGAGTGACGATGTGACAGTGTGATGATGTGACAGTGTGACGATGTGACAGTGTGACGATGTGACAGTGTGATGATGTGACAGTGTGATGATGTGACAGTGATGATGTGACAGTGTGGTGATGTGACAGTGTGATGATGTGACAGTGTGATGATGTGACAGTGTGGTGATGTGACAATGTGATGATGTGACAGTGTGGTGATGTGACAGTGTGGTGATGTGACAGTGTGATGATGTGACAGTGTGATGATGTGACAGTGTGGTGATGTGACAGTGATGATGCTGACAGTGTGGCTATGTGATGATGTGACAGTGATGACATGTGACGATGTAACAGTGATGTGACAGTGTGGTGATGTGACAGTGATGATGTGACAGTGATGATGTGACAGTGATGATGACAGACAGAGTGATGTGACAGTGATGATGTGACAGTGATGATGTGACAGTGATGATGTGACAGTGAGATGTGTGATGTGACAGTGTGATGATGTGACAGTGTGATGATGTGACAGTGTGATGATGTGACAGTGATGATGTGACAGTGATGATGTGACAGTGTGATGATGTGACAGTGTGATGATGTGACTGTGACAGTGATGATGATGATGTGAGTGTGATGATGTGACAGTGTGATGATGTGACAGTGTGATGATGTGACAGTGTGATGATGTGACAGTGATGATGTGACAGTGTGATGATGTGACAGTGATGATGTGACAGTGTGATGATGTGACAGTGTGATGATGTGACAGTGTGATGATGTGACAGTGTGATGATGTGACAGTGTGATGATGTGACAGTGTGATGATGTGACTGTGATGATGTGACAGTGTGATGATGTGACTGTGATGATGTGACAGTGTGATGAATGTGACAAAGATACTAGATCAGGAACTAATCTGGGGTTTTTATGTGTGTAGATTGTTTCTGTTTTTATCCTTAAACTGAAGCAATAATTCAGCATAGAGTTCCCTGCCTACCCATGCCCCCTTCCCCGATATGCAGGACATGCTACATGCGTGACAACTACCTGTGGTGCCAAACTCTGCGTGATACATGCTGTGATCAACAGTGAACAGGGACATTGTTTCCTTCTTACAGTAGCCACGTGGAAGACAGTGCAGGTGTATGGAGAAGGGCAGATGGTTACCATGGCAATTACGTCTCAAGGATATTTGCACAACAGGACAGGAAAACAGCTCTCCTTAGTAGAGATAAATCTTCACCTTGAGATAAACATTTGACTTGGTTTGAGCAGAGGGGGTTGACATGTTGACACTACAGCTACCATGATATAGGGCAGGTGCCATGGGCGTTGGGTAGAGCGCCAGCAAACAGGTCCACAGGAACAACATGCACATAGCATGTTCATACAGGCATCTCAAAACTAGTTGTGAGGAAAACCGTATTTATTTGGATATCTTTGCAGATGAGATTTTATTTAGTGTGTAAATAGGTTGGATAGTGTGCAGTGGTAGGTAGGGGATAGTGTGCAGTGGTAGGTAGGGGATAGTGTGCAGTGTTAGGTAGGGGTATGGTGTGACTGCTGGAGAAGGGTATCTGGGGTGGGGCACATGGGAGCTAGCTGATGGGTGTGGTTAAAAGATGCGGGCCTGGTGTAGTATGTGAGACAATGGTATGGTAGACAGGGTTGGGTGAGATAGGTGAGTGAGGGGTGAGGTACATGAAGAAGGTAGGGTCGGGGAAAGGTATTGGGTGACTAGGTGAGTGAGGGGTGAGGTACATGAAGAAGGGAGGGTCGGGGAAGGTATTGGGTGACTAGGTGAGTGAGGGGTGAGGTACATGAAGAAGGTAGGGTCGGGGGAAGGTATTGGGTGACTAGGTGAGTGAGGGGTGAGGTACATGAAAGAGGGAGGGTCAGGGAAGGTATTGGGTGAGTGAGGGGTGAGGTACATGAAAGAAGGAGGGTCAGGGAAGGTATTGGGCGAGATAGGTGAGTGAGGGGTGTGGTACATGAAGGAGGGAGGGTCGGGGAAGGGATTGGGTGAGATAGGTGACATAAATCGTGAATGTCATCCATTTGTAGGTCCTATCTAGACAATGCCATCACAGTAAATGTCAGTCAGGAATGAGATGTTATGACACCTGCCACAACATCTGAGACGAGTAATATTAGTGACATTCCTTTTGGTTATTTGTCATAAGTATTAAGATGGCAAGTAGAGGATGAGTTTTGTTGAAAAAGAAATAGAAATAATTTGTCCTAGATATACATTGGAAATTGAAGATAATTCATTTTACGTGTTTAACAATGGTCTCACATGATGTTGGTCGTGTCACTGGACAGACGTCTTTAACTGTTGATTTCCATGTAAACACAAAAATTCCATTTTGCATCTATTATAGAAATCTGTGCTCTTAGTAAGAGGTTAAAGTCATGCTGCCAATCTAATGGTCTAAGCCTGCTAATGGCCAATCTCGGTAACTGGTGATGGCATTTACAAGTTTCATAATAAAACCTGAATGGAATATCAATGTAATTGAAGGCTTTACCTCTCACCTGTATGATATCTGAGAGATGGATCGGGGTACAGGTGTTATGTGAGGGATGGGACTGGGTACAGGTGTTATGTGAGGGATGATACTGGGTACAGGTGTTATGTGAGAGATGGTACTGGGTGCAGGTGTTATGTGAGAGATGGTACTGCGTGCAGGTGTTATGCGAGAAATGGTACTAGGTACAGGTGTTATGTGAGATATGGTACTGGGTACAGGTGTTATGTGAGATATGGTACTGGGTACAGGTGTTATGTGAGATATGGTGCTGGGTACAGGTGTTATGGGAGATATGGTACTGGGTGCAGGTGTTATGTGAGACATGGGTTCGTGTGCAGGTGTTATGTGAGGCATGGGTTCGTGTGCAGGTGTTATGTGAAAGATGGTACTGGGTGCAGATATGAATAACCTTGGTGGTTGATATAGTGAGTAACTGTCCGATAGAATGAATGTCCAGTAGAATGTCATTGGGACTGACTACGTGATGCTCTGTGCCTTCCTCTGACGAGCCAAGGGGCTGACTCTTAGTGAATAGGTTGACTGTTACTTGTGGGACTCTGTAGGTTGCTCCAGGCAATTATTAGTTTCACTGCATGCTCTTGCAGGGCGAATAATTTTTCCCCCAGCCCCCCCCTCTCAAAGCCATCAACAAAACATATGAGCATTATTCTGAGAACATGTGTCTTTTTAGTTCCTGCGGGATGAGCTTCAGTACACTGATGGGTTTGAACGTCAAAAGACCTTCCATGGCAATGACAAGCTGATCAGTATTGAAGATCTATGGAGGGGCTGGAAGGGATCTGAAGGTGAGTCGACGTTGTTGTGGTTGAAGATGTTCCATGGCAATGACAAGCTGATCAGTGTTGAAGATCTGTGGAGGGGCTGGAAGGGATCTGAAGGTGAGTCGACGTTGTTGTGGTTGAAGATGTTCCATGGCAATGACAAGCTGATCAGTGTTGAAGATCTGTGGAGGGGCTGGAAGGGATCTGAAGGTGAGTCGACGTTGTTGTTGTTGTGGTTGAAGATGTTCCATGGCAATGACAAGCTGATCAGTGTTGAAGATCTGTGGAGGGGCTGGAAGGGATCTGAAGGTGAGTCGACGTTGTTGTGGTTGAAGATGTTCCATGGCACTGGATGAGATAGGTGAGTGAGGGGTGAGGTACATGAAGGAGGGAGGGTGAGGGAAGGTATTGGGAGAGATAGGTGAGTGAGGGGTGTGGTAAATGAAGAAAGGAGGGTCGAAGATGTTCCATGGCAATGACAAGCTGATCAGTGTGGAAGATCTGTGGAGGGGCTGGAAGGGTTTGAAGGTGAGTCTCGACGTTGTTGTGGTTGAAGATGTTCCATGGCACTGGGTGAGATAGGTGAGTGAGGGGTGAGGTACATGAAGGAGGGAGGGTGAGGGAAGGTATTGGGTGAGATAGGAGAGTGAAGGGTGTGGTAAATGAAGAAGGGAGGGTCGAAGATGTTCCATGGCAATGACAAGCTGATCAGTATTGAAGATCTGTGGAGGGGCTGGAAGGGTTTGAAGGTGAGTCGACGTTGTTGTGGTTGAAGATGTTCCATGGCACTGGGTGAGATAGGTGAGTGAGGGGTGAGGTACATGAAGGAGGGAGGGTCAGGGAAGGTATTGGGTGAGATAGGTGAGTGAGGGGTGTGGTAAATGAAGAAGGGAGGGTCGAAGATGTTCCATGGCAATGACAAGCTGATCAGTATTGAAGATCTGTGGAGGGGCTGGAAGGGTTTGAAGGTGAGTCGACGTTGTTGTGGTTGAAGATGTTCCATGGCACTGGGTGAGATAGGTGAGTGAGGGGTGAGGTACATGAAGGAGGGAGGGTCAGGGAAGGTATTGGGTGAGATAGGTGAGTGAGGGGTGTGGTAAATGAAGAAGGGAGGGTCGAAGATGTTCCATGGCAATGACAAGCTGATCAGTATTGAAGATCTGTGGAGGGGCTGGAAGGGTTTGAAGGTGAGTCGACGTTGTTGTGGTTGAAGATGTTCCATGGCACTGGGTGAGATAGGTGAGTGAGGGGTGAGGTACATGAAGGAGGGAGGGTCAGGGAAGGTATTGGGTGAGATAGGTGAGTGAGGGGTGTGGTAAATGAAGAAGGGAGGGTCGAAGATGTTCCATGGCAATGACAAGCTGATCAGTATTGAAGATCTGTGGAGGGGCTGGAAGGGTGTGAAGGTGTTGTTGTGGTTGATGTACAACAGTTTACACAGCTCCTTACTTTCTCTGTTATTCAGTGTACAACTGGACAAACGACGATGTCCTGGAGTGGCTGGAGTGTCATGTTGAGCTGCCGCAGTACATCGAGATCTTCCACACGAAACTGGTCGATGGCACCAGTCTTCCCAGGTATGCCAGTCTCAGTTTGTTTAGTTTGACCCACACACCGACCTTTTGACCCACCCTGTTACTTAGCACTGACTGACTTACTGACTTTCAACCCCATTCCTCTCCATCCCTCAACACCCCCACCTACCTAAGCACCACCCTCACCCTACATAAACACCACCCCCACCCTAGATAAACACCACCCCTACCCTACCTAAACACCACCCCTACCCTACCTAAACACCACCCCCACCTACCTAAACCCCACCCCCACCCTACATATACACTGCCCCTACCCTACCTAAACACCACCCCCCACCTCTACATAAACACCACCCCTTCCCCTACCTAAACACCACCCCCTACCCTACCTAAACACCACCCTCAATCGTGCACCTAGACACCACCCCCTCCCTACCTAAACACCACCCCACCCCCACCCTACCTAAACACCACCCTCACCCTACCTAGACACCACACCCCTACCCTACATATACACCACCCCCTACCCTACATAAAAACACCACCCCTACCCTACATTAACACCACCCCCACCCTACCTAAACACCGGCCCCTACCTAAACACCACCCCTCACCCTACCTAGACACCACCCCCACCCTACCTAAACACCACCACTACCCTACCTAAACACCACCCCACCTAAACACCACCCTCACCCTACCTAAACACCCCCACCCCCACCCTACCAAACCTAAACACCACCCTCACCCTACCTAAACACCACCACCCACGCTCCTCTCTTCCAGTTGTCATCAGATGACATGCATCAATGACTATTGAGAAACACCACCTAAGCATGGTGACATATATGACTATTGAGAAACACCACCTAAGCATGGTGACTTATATGACTATTGAGAAACACCCACCTCAGCATGGTGACTTATATGACTATTGAGAAACACCACCTAAGCATGGTGACTTATATGACTATTGAGAAACACCCACCTCACCATGGTGACTTATATGACTATTGAGAAACACCCACCTCAACATGGTCACATATATGACTATTGAGAAACACCACCTAAGCATGGTGACATATATGACTATTGAGAAACACCCACCTCACCATGGTGACTAATATATGACTATTGAGAAACACCCACCTCAGCATGGTGACATATATGACTATTGAGAAACACCCACCTCACCATGGTGACTTATATGACTATTGAGAAACACCCACCTCAGCATGGTGACTTATATGACTATTGAGAAACACCCACCTCAGCATGGTGACTTATATGACTATTGAGAAACACCCACCTCACCATGGTGACTTATATGACTATTGAGAAACACCCACCTCACCATGGTGACTTATATGACTATTGAGAAACACCCACCTCAGCGTGGTGACTAATATGACTATTGAGAAACACCACCTAAGCATGGTGACATATATGACTATTGAGAAACACCCACCTCACCATGGTGACTTATATGACTATTGAGAAACACCCACCTCAGCATGGTGACATATATGATTATTGAAAAACACCCACCTCAGCATGGTGACATATATGATTATTGAGAAACACCCACCTCAGCATGGTGACATATATGACTATTGAGAAACACCACCTAAGCATTGTGACATATATGACTATTGAGAAACACCACCTAAGCATGGTGACATATATGACTATTGAGAAACACCACCTAAGCATGGTGACATATATGACTATTGAGAAACACCCACCTCAGCATGGTGACTTATATGACTATTGAGAAACACCCACCTCAGCATGGTGACATATATGACTATTGAGAAACACCCACCTCACCATGGTGACATATATGACTATTGAGAAACACCCACCTCAGCATGGTGACATATATGACTATTGAGAAACACCCACCTCAGCATGGTGACTTATATGACTATTGAGAAACACCCACCTCAGCATGGTGACATATATGACTATTGAGAAACACCACCTAAGCATGGTGACATATATGACTATTGAGAAACACCCACCTCACCATGGTGACATATATGACTATTGAGAAACACCCACCTCAGCATGGTGACTTATATGACTATTGAGAAACACCCACCTAAGCATGGTGACATATATGACTACTACTTTCTGCAAACTTGTATTGAGTGTAATGGTTGCCAAGGTAACTCAGACATAAGATCTGTTCCTTCACACTTACTTTGTATGTAGCAAGTCTGCCTGTCCTTGAAATATCACTATTGTTCCAGACAGAACAATGGATGGATGTGTGTACTGGCTAGTGGTGTAACAATTCATCGATAGTATCGTTGTTTGCATTGATACACAACACATTTAGGTTATATATCAGGATGAGTTGGTGTATCAGTGAGTGTGAACATTTTTCAAATTCTGTGAACTGTAGAATTCTTGTCTTCAAGTAACTGAAATATGTTTTAATTGTTCCACAAATAACACCATTTATTAACAAGTATGAACGAACGATGTCTTAGGTAAGAAAGAGAACAAAGATAAGATAAAATTTTAAAAGCAGACTTAAGAGTTGTTTTCAGTCAGTGATTTTGAATTCTAATATTAATTACATTAAAATGTTTGTGAAACACAATTTTTGCTGTATAACAAATAAAGTTTCAGTAATTTTATCTATCATATGTACCGTTTTTAGAAATTTTAACATATCGGGATACGTATCATATCGCACCATTGTATCGTAATGATAATTGTCTGATACCTTGCCAATACTTTCATGATAGATCGTCTCGCATCTATAAACGGGTATCGGGATATATCATCTCGTTACTTCGGCCACAATACACACCTCTAGTACTCACACAGGTTACTGTACTGACACAGGACACTGTACTGACACAGGTTACTCTACTTACACAGGGTACTGTATTGACACAGGGTACTGTACTGACACAGGGTGCTGTACTGACACAGGGTGCTGTACTGATAGTGTTCCCCCTAGGATTCAGAAAGGGCAGGGTAAATTAAACAAAAAGGGCACTTCATAATCTAAAAGGGCACTTTGGTGAGGATTATTGAAAAAATAACAATAACAAAATGTATATGAAGTCAAATGCTCTTATAATTTTATTTCTAAAGTTCATTTATTACTCTTCTCATTTTGTATTTTAAGATCAATTTTTGGAAAAAAAAGCTTTTTAAGACATTAACCTCTTGTCACATTTGTTTACAATTTCACAAAACATGAAACAACAATTTACAGTCTTCTTTTCTTTCTTGCCAAGCATCTGTTCACAACTTTTTTCAAGTCAATGTCTGAAACTGGCCGATGCATTCAGGCTAATCATGAGAAGTCCGTTGCAATTTTGAACACTGAGTCTGTTTCTATGATCTGTCACAATCAGTTTCACTTTTGAGAACACTCTCTCAACTTCAGAAGTGGACAATCACAGTTGCATGAATGGACAGTAATTGAACAATGTTTGGATTCAAGTTTCCAAGTTGAGGCTTGAGTCTTCAAAATGGTGGAGGGTGAACTGGTGTCAAGCTCCTTTACTTGACTCCACTCAATCTGTGTTTAGTCGACATTAAGTCCATTTCTGCCCTTGGTGTTCCACTTAGAACATAATGAACAAAACATCATTCCCTTCTTTTTGTCATCTTCTGAGTACCCTCGACCAGGGACGGTTTTGTTTGCCACTTTGTGTCAAATGCAGTCTTGTGACCACCATCTTTCTTCTGTGTTGGATTAACTGACTCTGTCTCCATGTTGCCCTTGAATTTTCATAGGAAACTACCTCTGACTCGTCGTCGGTCTGAAAAAAAAGAATACAAAGTTCATATACCATAATCAAAATATTCTTAGATATTAAATTTGCAATCACAATTATTAAAACAAAAATATCACACAATAATACACCTGAGCGTAAGTATCTACTGTGGAGAGCCTCGACAAGGGTGTGGCTTCCCATTGTTTGAAATCGTAAAAAATAGTTTTTAACGCCTTCAAGACTTACATTTTTATGAAATCGACAGTAAACACTACTAAAACAAGGCTACCAAGTGAAGCTGTTATGCAAGCTGTATTAACTATTTCATTTCCCAGGACAAACAACAAAATAATTCAAGATCAATTTCAAATTGCCGATGGATTCAAAATGGCGGACATTTTCGAGGTTTCAGATTTTCACCTAAACAGCACAGTCATTATGAATATCGGACCCCAAACGCGTGCCAAAATACATCCCATGTAGTTCACACATCGTTGTCTTTAATAAATGAAGGTCTTATTTGAAAGGCATGTGAAATTGAAAGGGGAAATCAGCGGCCTAAAATCCGAAACTTAGAGGCACATACCTGTTAGGGCCGAAGAAATCTATTAGTCTCTTTCGACACTTTCCTTGCATTCAACCTTTGACTTCTTCTTCTCTTTATCCATTTGGTTCTTTCCTTGGTAGGCATAAAAACCGTGATTTGTAAAATCGCACATTAAACACATTTGACTTAAGCCACCCTGGTTTAGGGGAATGACCAATTTCTAATCATTATCAACTATAATCGACAATTTGGTGTCTCCCACTGACTTTTACAGGGTACTGTATTGACTCAGTCCTTAATAAAATCCGGCACCGGGCAATATACACACGGGTTGTTGTAAAATCAAGCACAGCTGGAAAAACTGGGATTGAGGCAAAAGGGCTGTACCGCACAGGGTGCTGTACAAAAAGGGCAGCTGACACAAAAATCAAAGGGCAGGCACGGGGTGCTGTACTCCTAAATGTGCCTGGGGACACACAGGGCAGGGCACTGTACTGACACAGGGTACTGTACTGACACAGGGCACTGTACTGACACAGGGCACTATACTGTACTGACACAGGGTACTGTACTGACACAGGGTACTGTATTGACACAGGGTACTGTACACAGGGTACTGTACTGACACAGGGTACTGTACTGACACAGGGTACTGTACTCACACAGGGCACTGTACTCACACAGGGCACTGTACTCACACAGGGCACTGTACTCACACAGGGCACTGTACTGACACAGGGTACTGTATTGACACAGGGTGCTGTACTGACACAGGGTGCTGTACTGACACAGGGTGCTGTACTGACACAGGGTGCTGTACTGACACAGGGCGCTGTATTGACACAGGGCACTGTACTCACACAGGGCACTGTACTGACACAGGGCACTGTACTGACACAGGGGTACTGTACTGACACAGGGCACTGTACTGACACAGGGTGTACACTGTACTGACACACAGGGCACTGTACTCACACAGGCACTGTACTGTACTGACACAGGGTACTGTTTTGACACAGGGCACTGTACTCACACAGGGCACTGTACTCACACAGGGCACTGTACTGACACAGGGCACTGTACTCACACAGGGCACTGTACTCACACAGGGCACTGTACTGACACAGGGCACTGTACTGACACAGGGCACTACTATACTGACACAGGGCACTGTACTAACACAGGGTACTGTATTGAAACAGGGTACTGTACTGACACAGTGTCCTGTACTGACACAGGGTGCTGTGCTGACACAATACAGTCAGTACAGTGCCCTGTGTCAGTACAGTCAGTAATGACACAGGGCACTGTACTGACACAGGGCACTGTACTGACACAGGGTGCTGTACTGACACAGGGTGCTGTACTGACACAGGGCACTGTACTGACACAGGGCAATTTAATGACACAGGGCACTGTACTGACACAGGGTGCTGTACTGACACAGGGTACTGTATTGACACAGGGTGCTGTACTGACACAGGGCACTACTGTACTGACACAGGATATAGTATTGAAACAGGGTACTGTACTGACACAGGGTACTGTATTGAGACAGGGTGCTGTACTGACACAGGGCACTGTACTGAAACAAGGTGCTGTACTGACACAGGGTGCTGTACTGACACAGGGCACTGTATTGACACAGGATGCTGTACTGACACGGGGCTGTACTGACAGAGGGCACTGTACTGACACAGGGCACTGTACTGACACAGGCCACTGTACTGACACAGAGCACTGTACTGACACAGGGCACTGTACTGACACAGGGCACTGTACTGACACAGGGCACTGTACTGACACAGGGCACTACTATACTGACACAGGGTATAGTATTGAAACAGGGTACTGTACTGACACAGGGCACTGTACTGACACAGGGTACTGTACTGACACAGGACACTGTACTGACACAGGGCACTATACTGACACAGGGCACTGTACTGACACAGGGTGGTGTACAGACACAGGGCACTGTACTGACAACGGGCACTGTACTGACACAGGTTGCTGTACTGACACAGGGTGCTGTACTGACACAGGGTATTATACTGACACAGGGCACTGTACTGACAGAGGGGACTGTACTGACACAGGGCACTGGACTGACAGAGGGGACTGTACTGACACAGGGTGCTGTACTGACACAGGGTGCTGTACTGACACAGGGTACTGTACTGACACAGGGTACTGTACTGACACAGGGCACTGTATGACACACAGAGGGGACTGTACTGACACAGGGTGCTGTACTGACACAGGGTACTGTACTGACACAGGGCACTGTACTGACACAGGGTGCTGTACTGACAAAGGGTGCTGTACTGACACAGGGTACTGTATTGACACAGAGCACTGTACTGGCACAGGGCACAATACTGACACAGGGCACAATACTGACACAGGGCACTATACTGACAGGGCACTGTACTGGCACAGGGTACTATACTGACACAGGGTGCTGTACTGACAAAGGGTGCTGTACTGACACAGGGTACTGTATTGACACAGAGCAATGTACTGGCACAGGGCACAATACTGACACAGGGCACAATACTAACACAGGGCACTATACTGACAGGGCACTGTACTGGCACAGGGTACTATACTGACACAGGGTGCTGTACTGACACAGGGCACTATACTGACACTGAGTGCTGTACTGACACAGAGCACTGTACTGGCACAGGGCACAATACTGACACAGGGTGCTGTACTGACACAGAGTGCTGTACTGACACAGGGCACTGAACTGTCACAGGGTACTGTACTAACACAGGGTGCTGTACTGACACAGGGTACTGTACTGACACAGGGTGCTGTACCGACCGACTGTCACAGGGCACTATACTGACACTGGGTGCTGTACCGACACAGGGTGCTGTACTGACACAGGGTGCTGTACTGACACAGGGTGCTGTACTGACACAGGGTATTATACTGACACAGGGTGCTGTACTGACACAGGGTGCTGTACTGACACAGGGCACTATACTGACACAGGAACTGTACTGACACTGGCTATTGAGCTGAGTATTCAAAGCCCCACCATAGCGGAGCCACCATAGCTACAAAAGGAAGAATATTAACACTGAGGCACATGTGATCACAATTACAGTTTTTTTTCTAACCCCGGCCAACTCCTGCAATGACACAGAAACATTTACATTTGAAATATGATCTTAATTGGTTTTAAATCAGAGTTTAATGGAAAAAAATCGCATTGGAAAGGGCAGTAAGTGGTTTCATGCTCAAAGAACCTCTGAAAGAAGCTGCCACAATATTTCCTTCCAGTTTCATCTCAGGACAAAATGGGGGCGGTGGGGTAGCACAGTGGTTAAAGCGTTGGTTCACCACGCCGATGAACTGGGTTCGATTCCCCACATGGGTACAATGTGTGAAGCCCATTTCTGGTGTCCCTCACCGTGCTATTGCTGGAATATTGCTCAAAGTCATTAAACCATACTCACTCACTCACTCAGGACAAAATGGCATGGCTGTTCCTTTGTAGCTTTCAACAGGATAGGAGGGATGGAGAGAACACTGCTTTTTTTTAATCATTGAAACCATAATTTAGCTTGTGATAGATGTTTGACATACAACACTTCTAAAAATAACTGTTGTTTCAGATAGGCTTACTTTACCTCCACTGCAAAATGTTGTTTCAGATTGGCTTACTTTACCTCCACTGTATAACTGTTGTTTCAGATTGGCTTACTTTACCTCCACTGTATAACTGTTGTTTCAGATTGGCTTACTTTACCTCCCCTGTATAACTGTTGTTTCAGATTGGCTTACTTTACCTCCACTGTATAACTGTTGTTTCAGATTGGCTTACTTACCTCCATATACTGTTTGGCTTACTTTACCTCCACTGTATAACTGTTGATTCAGATTGGCTTTACCTCCACTGTTGTTAACTGTTGTTGTCAGATTGGCTTTTACTTTACCTCCACAGATTAACTGTTGTTTCAGACTGGCTAACTGTTGTTTCAGATTGGCTTACTTTACCACTGTATAATATAGATTACTGTTTACCCCACTGTATAATGTTGTTTCTGATTGGCTTGGCTTACTTTACCTCTTGTATAACTGTTGTTGGCTGTATAATGTTGTTTCAGTATAACTGCTGTTTCAGATTTTTACTTTACTCCACTGTATAACTGTTGTTTCAGATTGGCTTACTTTACCTTGTTTCACTGCTTGGCTTACTTTACCTCCACTGTATAACTGTTGTTTCAGATTGGCTTACTTTACCTCCACTGTATAACTGTTGTTTCAGATTGGCCACTGTATAACTTTGGCTTACTTTTACCTCCACTGTATAACTGTTGTTTCAGATTGGCTTACTTTACTCCACTGTATAACTGTTGTTTCAGATTGGCCACTGTATAACTGTTGTTTCAGATTGGCTTACTTTACCTCCACTGTATAACTGTTGTTTCAGATTGGCTTACTTTACCTCCACTGTATAACTGTTGTTTCAGATTGGCTTACTTTACCTCCACTGTATAACTGTTGTTTCAGATTGGCTTACTTTACCTCCACTGTATAATGTTGTTTCAGACTAGCTTACAGCAACAGCAACTTCTATACAACAACCCTTGGAATAAAAAATGCTGTTCACAAACAGAAGATGTCCGTGAAAGCTATGGATGCTGTGCTGTTCGGGGCCCCAAAGAGTATGTACTGTTACCATCTATAGATCTGTATCCATGTCTTGTCCTCAGCCTCCTCCAGTAGTAATGCCCCTGGGTGGATGTGACAGGAGGTCAGGTCAGCTTCTCTCACATCTCTTATGGAATTGTCTTAATTAATTCATGGTAATGTGATCTTCCAAGTAGGCATCGTAAAGATCAGGCCAAGATGACATTATTGCTCTTGGTGTAGTTTTAATGTATCTGGTATTGACTTTACAGCAGAATATATTCATATTGTAATATGTATACTTTTGTTACCATGGTAACAGATAGTTTATACTGGGGCAATGGTTTTACAGTGTACTGTTGTTAGCTTTCATATAATGGAGTGAGTTACTACAAAAGTGGCAGTTCATGACATCATTTCTGAGGAAACTGTGCCACAAAGTAGATCTCAGCTTGGTTTCATTCATTCATTCATTCCAGACACAACTGGTAGACACCTTCAGTATATCATATGAACACATCCCACAGAGATATCAACATGACACCAGGTGGACACCTCTAACAGACACCTCTGGTGCCCCCTGTCGTGATATTGCTTGAATATTGCAAAAAGAGGCGTAAACCTAAACTCACTCACTCACTCACTCACTCAGAACAGACACCAGACACAACTGGTGGACACCTTCAATATATCATATAAACACTTATCACATCCCAGAGAGATATCAAGAAGACACCTCCAACAGACATACAGACACCAGACACAACTGGTGGACACCTTCAATATATCATATAAACACTTATCACATCCCAGAGAGATATCAAGAAGACACCTCCAACAGACATACAGAACCAGACACAACTGGTGGACACCTTCAATATATCATATAAACACTTATCACATCCCAGAGAGATATCAAGATCAGACATACAGACACCAGACACAACTGGTGGACACCTTCAATATATCATATAAACACTTATCACATCCCAGAGAGATATCAAGAAGATACCTCCAACAGACATACAGACACCAGACACAACTGGTGGACACCTTCAATATATCATATAAACACTTATCACATCCCAGAGAGATATCAAGAAGACACCTCCAACAGACATACAGACACAACTGGTGGACACCTTCAATATATCATATAAACACTTATCACATCCCAGAGATATATCAAGAAGACACCTCCAACAGACATACAGACACAACTAGTGGACACCTTCAATATATCATGTAAACACTTAACATCCCAGGATTAAAAGACACCTCCAACAGTGGGACACCTTCAATACATATCAAGTAAACACTTAGGGGGAGGTGGGGTCGCCGAATGGTTAAAGCGTTGGCTCGTCACGCCGAAGACCTGGGTTCGAATCCCCATGGGTACAATGTGTGAAGCCCATTTCTGGTGTCCCCAGCCGTGATGTTGCTGGAATATTGCTAAAAGCGGCGTAAAACCAAACTCAGTCAGTCAGTAAACACTTAGCTCACATCCCAGAGAGATATCAGCATGACACCAGGTAGAACGTCTTGGAACCCTTCATTGATGGTGCCCCTACCTGTGTGTTACAGAAGCCCACAGCTATGTGAAGGACATCGCTCTGGTGGCATCCCTGATCATTGCACTAGGTGGGTGTTGGTTTGCCTACATCCATCACCACTACTCCCAGAACCACGTGAAGAAGATGATGAAGGACCTGGAGTGTCTGCAGAAAGCTGAGGAGGCCCTACAGGAACTGCAGGAAAAGTGAGGCATTGTGGGACAGAGAGTTAGGGGCATTGTAGTTCAGGAAGTGAGGGGGGCATTGTGGGACAGAAAGTGAAGGGCATTATAGTTCAGGAAGTGAGGGGGGCATTGTGGGACAGAAAGTGAAGGGCATTGTGGGACAGAAAGTGAACGGCATTATAGTTCAGGAAGTGAGGGGCATTGTGGGACAGAAAGTGAACGGCATTGTAGTTCAGGAAGTGAGGGGGGCATTGTGGGACAGAAAGTGAAGGGCATTATAGTTCAGGAAGTGAGGGGGGCATTGTGGGACAGAAAGTGAAGGGCATTGTGGGACAGAAAGTGAACGGCATTATAGTTCAGGAAGTGAGGGGCATTGTGGGACAGAAAGTGAACGGCATTATAGTTCAGGAAGTGAGGGGCATTATAGTTCAGGAAGTGAGGGTCATAGTTGGGGCAGAAAGTGATGTTCATTATAGTTCAGGAAGTGAGGGGCATTGTGAGACAGAAAGTGAAGGGCATTATAGTTCAGGAAGTGAGGGGCATTGTGGGACAGAAAGTGAAGGGCATTGTGGGACAGAAAGTGAACGGCATTATAGTTCAGGAAGTGAGGGGCATTGTGGGACAGAAAGTGAAGGGCATTATAGTTCAGGAAGTGAGGGGCATTGTGGGACAGAAAGTGAAGGGCATTATGGTTCAGAAAGTGAACGGCATTATGATACAGGAAGAGAGGGGCATAATGGGACAGGAAGTGAGGGGCATTGTGGGACAGGAAGGGAGTGGCATTATGGGACAATGAGCGGCATTATGATACAGAAAGTGAGGGGCATAATGGGACAGGAAGTGAGTGGCATTATGATACAGGAAGGGAGTGGCATTATGATACAGGAAGGGAGGGGCATTATGGGACAATGAGCGGCATTATGATACAGGAAGTGAGGGGCATACATGTTTTGAACCATAAGATTCTAGTTGGACTAGTCTTTTAAGGCTTTGCAGTTTGCTGGAGTCTAAGGAGTTGCTTCCCTTGGGCACACCAGAAACCTAAGATTGTGGGTTCTAATCCCAAGTCACCCAGATTATGTTTCTTGGTTGGTCGGCACCATGCCCAGGTTTCTTCAAAGTGGTGAACAGGCTTTCCGCCAGCATTACGCTGCCATGTCATGATGTGTAGTGTTAAAGGTGAACCCATGTTGAGGCAGATGTGATGTTCCTGGTGTTCCTGATGCTGCTAATTGTGGTGGCAAATAGAAAACAGTCTCTTGCACTTAATATCCTGACGTTGTAAAGCCCCATGTTTGTCAGGAGATGACAGACATACTTGTCCTCTGCAGTTAGACAACATGTTTGTGTATCAAGAGTATCCCAAACATGGAACAACTCCACTATCACAGACTACTTGAGTAGGACAAGGCAATGAGGTATATCACATCAGCAAGCTGACGCTACTGTCACTATCACAGACTACTTGAGTAGGACAAGGCGATGAGGTATATCACATCAGCAAGCTCGCTACTGTCACTATCACAGACTACTTGAGTAGGACAAGGCTATGAGGTATATCACATCAGCAAGCTGACCGCTACTGTTGCATCATTTTCAGACTTGAAATGGCAGAGGAAAAACAGAACAGTGTCTCCATAGAGAAAAAACAGAACAGTGTCTCCATAGAGAAACAGAATCTGGAGGCCAAGTACAAGGACGAGATTGATGCAGCAAAGGTATGTAATCCAATATGGAGTAAGACATGTGATATGTGTCACACTTCCACACGTTTGTACGGTTGTCATGGCTGCCTCCTGAAGGCATGGTGAGTCTTCACACAGGCATTCTGATAAATATCTGGCATTGAGTGGTAAAGAAAAACAAAATTTAAATTAGTTTTTTATTGGATTTGTTTTCTGATAAGATCAAATTACCGATTACCAGTGAATCCAGTTACTGCTGGTCACACACCATGGGCTGCAGATAATCACCAGTTGGAATCTGATATATCTCCCATTGTTGTCCATGGTATATCATGGCTGTGTGTGTGTGTACTTATGTTTCAACATGGTGCGAGATGTCCTCAATCTAAACTCTCCATTCATGTTAATCACCCTGAAGTATCACTGAGAACGTAGGGTGTCTAGATGTGGCATTACCTGTCTCCCACCTGCTTGTTACAGAGCAGATCCATGGAGGGGGACATATGGGTAAGGATGTTGGAGTGAGCCATCTTGTATCCTTGGTAACCCGTGTAAATTAACCAGTTGTTTCCATGCTGTTTCTATTAACATCTCATATCCCCTGCCTGCATCCTCTGTCAGAATTGGCTCTCATTATAGTTTGGTTTTTGTTAGGTAAGTTTTCAGAGTTGGAAGGTTGAAAACTGCCATTTTGTCTGATGTTTTGGTTTTGTCATTTTAACACATCAACTGATTTGAAGCTAAAATAAAATGTGGTAGGTACAACTGCAGTGATGTTTTTGACATTCGTTACATTTTTCTAAAGGTTTTTGTTTGTTTGAAGAAAGTTTGTTAGATGTTTAGTATATGAGTTGTCCTGCCTTAACTAATGCTTCACCCCATGACAGTTACATGTACGCTTATACATAAATTATTTAAATGATAACAGACATGTGTCTGTTCTCAGATAGAAATACTAAATCCTTATGAATATGTCCACCAACACTTGATTGCCTTTTTCCTAGCATTCCTCCAAACGCTATCTACTAGTTGTCCTCCTAAGGGAAGGAAAGGGTGGCAAACCTAATTTTCTGGTACATTTTGTCTTGAAATTGTTTCTGAACTTCTGCTTTGTAAGTGGTTATCATGGGTATATGAGAGGACTCTAAAACGTTTCATCCTCCATCTTTGGCTACCAAACCAATGCTCAGTCTGTGGGAAATGGAGAGTGTGGGGAGTGTGTTGACACTCCTTGCTCTTTCGTCACCCATTGTGTGACTTGACAAACGCTTTCTCTATCAGCTTTTGAGAAGTATGCTCTGGTCTGTAAAAACAGTCATGAAAATAAAAGAAACTGCTCTCCAGGATTCCAGTCAAGGTGCCTGCAGATGCAAGGATCATAGACAATCAGTCAGATTTGGGAGAGCTAGGTGTCCCTCCTGTCATATCTGATCCTGAGGTGCCCCATCCATCAACCACACGAACTGTTTAACCCAAATTTGTCATGGAGGAAGCCTTGTCGGTGGCTCTGAAACATTTTGGAAATTTGATAAAAGATCCATCAGATCGAATTTCAGTACTATCTCAAGAAAGGAGCAACGCTTCTCCTCAAAAGAGAGCCAGGTTGGCGTCTAAGTCCCGGACCACAGGGGGTGTTACTGTGCACTCAGCTGAAGTATACCCTGAGACACAAGGAATCAACCAAAACTTTGATCTTATGGACTGCATGTGCATTGATAGTTCAGAGAGATTTCATCAAGTAGAAGTCACGGACCACACAGTCTACAAGGATCACATGTGTATCAGCTCATTAATGGCAAATTTGAGGAGGCCTTGGAAGATAGGCCATTGGACTGAGCGCTAACATTGGCTTCCTTCTCACAACTGCACAGTCATCATCAGGGCTCTACAGGGACCAGGCAGTTCTTGGGAGTGGATCTCCGACAGGACAGCAGAAAGTAGCCAAAGTCTCATTCCAATGGATAGGGGAAAGAGTTTCAAACCAAGAATTCAAAGCCCAGGCCTAAATCACCTTGAATCACCCCAGACTTTCCAGACATTAGTAGCAGGGACCTCGACCATGGCAATAGACAGTGATCATGCTTAGAACATTGCTTATATTTCCTATGAAGGTGTTTCAGGGTCCATCCAGGGATTTACAGGATGCGAATTCCTGCGCCCTATACACATAAAATTGACAATGGACGCAACAAAATTTATTATTTTCTCTCCAAACAAGTTTCAGGAAAAAGGCAATCAAGTGTTAAAGGAAGTATTCTACCAATTTTGATCATTGTTGGTAATGTTCCAAATTAATAAGCCTCGCCTATTACAGTGTTACTGTGTAATAACTGACCACAATATTTGGAACAAACAAGCAAGACTGCCTCAAGTCTTTTGCTTTTCCTATGTGAGATCACTGATGGATGCATGAATATGTGAAACAGAGATGCTTCTGTAATTTATGGAGTATTGGAAATGTTATTTTTGACCTGACTGTGCAGTTTTTGTGGATATTCGGCTGAAGACTAGGTACCCCCAGTAACCATGGTAACTCATGCTTGTGTAATTCCTGTGCGATAATGCTTTGTAGTTTTCTGTTTTGTTCATGTTTGTGAAAGATTGTTTATGAAACAGTTCACAGTTTAGTTTGACACTCTCATGATGTCAGGTTGAATGATATGGAAGGTGAACATTTAACTGGCTTGATTCCCAACACGGCTGTTGTGAGTGAAGCCCATTTCTGATTGTCCGTATGTTGATGGGCAATGCTGGAACCAGTGTGTTGGGGTAGCCTAGTGGTTTATGCTTTTGGTAATCACATTAAAGGTTTGAGTTCCCAACCCAGCAACAGCAGGCCTGGTTCTCATGTATCCTGTTGGAAGAGTGTCAATCTGTTGTTACAAGTTCGAACTAAATAATCAGATGTGGAACCAATACACAACCAGGCCATGTGGTATAATAACAATCGTATTCTGTAACTAACTTTACAAATTACTAGAATTCACAAGAAAGGTATTTCAGTAGCAATACAAGTACAAAACCAGTACAATACAAGTGCAGTGATTATGACACAGATGGTAATATTCACCTCACTGCAGCAATGGTCAATTTTCCTGAAATAGGCCCAGGCTGAGTGTCCAGGGTGAGAATGATCTCCGCTCAGTTGCTGGCCTTCTTGTTACTTGAGGGGACGGTGGGGTAGCCTTGTGGTTAAAGCGTTCGCTCGTCACGCCAAAGACCCCGGTTCGATTCCCCATGGGTTAAATGTGTGAAGCCCCTTTCTGGTGTTGACTGTGTACGGACCTACTCAGTAACACACAGAATTGCTCACCTCCCAATATCAGTTGGTCTACTCCCATTTGTACATCGATACTCTAATGTATCTGACTGTGAATGCACGAGTATGTTGACTGCTAGATGTTGTAGTAGACAGAAGTGTGGGATGCTGCATGTACTGGTGATAGGAAGTGGCCAGCGGCTGATGTGCAGACGTAGCGTAGCACTATTAACTCTGTAAAATATATTTGTTCATGGCCTTTGCGATGAATCGGATGAACTAAAAGAATAATGAACTATCTGGTGATTTTGTGTATGGCTGTAGAGTGAAATAGTATCTTGTTGAAATCAGAGACAGAAGGACTTGAACAGTTGGGATTAGGTTTGAAACAATAGTATTACGTTCCTGTTGAAATGTTTATGGTGATTGTCTTGAAACATCTGTAACAATATCAGATGTTAACTCTATTCTTGCCATTATTTACCCTTTAAACTTGACATTAGATTTAGAGAGATAATTTTTAAACTTATCCTATCTCACGGTATGCACCTCTACTCTTCTTCTACGACCATGTGTGGAAACGTGCTGTAGGCTAAGTTGAATCAAATCTTACTGGCCTCTGACCACCCGACCTCTGCCCCCACCCGACCTCTGCCCCCTCTGTCCGGACTGTTCGTAGGCATCAATGTTACTACCTTTGTCTCTTTATCGAACGTTTCTGGAGGCATTGGTCTTTTTTACCTCTGCCATTCCATCAACTTTACCAATGTTCTGGTAGACTGACGATCCCATGCATTGTATCTACTAACTTTCTCACTCCATCTGGCGGACCAGCACTTCATTTGGCGAACCATACGTTCCTACGATCACTGTTTTTACGGCCTTCATCACTACATTGTGAACATTCCTGTACGTTCCTGTAGATTGACTGACATCTCCATGCCAAGAACCTCCTACATGCAGCACTTCTTCGGTACTGTCATGGTAGCTTGGCTACTCGAACGTTATCCTATCTCAGGATAGTTTTTTCTTCAAAGGCAATACTTACTAGGCCTTCTGACGTTAGCTCAAACCCCAACGTACAGAGGCCATTTCCAACCTCAACAGATGCAGCGATTCTACACCTGTATCTCGAGGTTGATAACCGAACCCAAAGGAATTGTTTCACCTTCCTGAACCACTTCGTCCAGTCCTTCAGTGGTGGCCTGACGAATGGAAGGTCTGCGCTGGAGTTTCGTGGTACCCCTAGCACTCTCGCAACCCAGGACTCTTTGTCAGTGGCAAAAACTTCTGGGTCTGTTGACGTCAGCTCAAGCTTTGACTCTAAGTGGATAGCTTCAACTACGGCCTCTCCACTTTCTTCTTTGTCAGCACATCAGGATTGGCGTCCCTCACGCATTGATCTCTCTTCCTCCAGCGCTCCATCCTCATCTCCAGTGGTGGTTGGATGGGTTGAATGTTTACAGTGGAGTCTCTTTAAGGCTGTTTGCTCCAGTACATCACCTGTAAGTAGACACTTCTCTACACGGGTGGGGAGCTCACTTTCTCGATCAGCAAGTGGCAGGGTTGTGGTCTCCCGCAGACTGCGCATGTCACATCAGTGTTTGGAGCTCAGGGCAGTGATTCTTGTGATCACTCATTGGCATCACCTGTTACAATCAACCAAGCTTTTGATTTGATCGGACCATGCTGCAATCGTGTGGCACATCTATCGAATGGGATCCATGGGGCCTCCTCAGCTTCGTCAGTGGACACAACAGTTGTTTTCCACTTAGTGGACTCTCTCTACATCACAGTCCAGGCCAATCACATCCCAGGGGAGAAGTATGTCATTGCAGATTCTTTGTCCCGTCCGGTTCAACCATACCTGATGGGGTGGAAACTGCATCCGCAGGTGTTCCTGACTTTGTGCCTTTCGATGTCTAACCCGACAGTGGAACTGTTTGCTACCTGCTTCCATCAACTGCTTCCAATATTCGTGTCCTCGATCCCTGATTTTTTGGCCTGGGAATACGGCGTTCTAGCCATCCCCAGGGATGACTTGAACGCGTATGTGTTTCCACCAGGGGGGCTACTTCCACGTATACTACTCAGCGGTTGACACTGATTTTGGGTCGCACCTTTTTGGCTCGTCAGAAGTTTGTTCCTGACCTGGCTGACCCTTTCCAGTACCACTTCCCATTCAAGCCGATATTATGGTTCATCTTCGCTCCGATCAGCTGCATGGTCTCCGCTCACACTGAATTTTCACGCCTGGTGCCTTTACTTCAATTGCTAACTGCAAAGGGATATTCCAAGCGAGTCGCTACGGCGATTACCACGGCGCCCCAAACTTCTACCAGGCCACTCTGTGATGGCTATGGAAGTGTTTAGAAGCGTACTGTAAGACGATGGGTATTATATTTCCCATTACAGCAGCGCCGCAGATGGTCACGGAGTACCTCCAGCATCCTTGAATTTCCAAGGAATTGAAGGGTTCCACCTAGTCTACAAACCAGGCCATGCGTAACACAGTTATTGCGCCGGCTACGGGTGCAAAGGTGTCAACTGTCCCTGGGCTCCAGTCTCTCCTTAGATCTTACAAGTTGCTGATCAATCTCGGAAGTTCTGGCCACCAGTCTGGGACCTTTCCGTGGTTTTTTATCATCTCACGTCAGAGGAGTATGAACCTCTGGCAGAGAAGGATTTCTGTCGACTATTTCTTCCTCCTGGCTCTTGCGACTGCTACCTGCATTCACGCTTCTGGATGTCACCCGGTTGCGCGTTGAGAGGACCAGACATGCCAAAGCTGTCCCTGGTTGAGGTTGAGACTATTTGCCTTTCCCGCTGCTGTCTTGGGCCCTGACGACACTGAGGATATCTCCCTATCTCCTGTCCGGACTTTACGGGTCTGCCTCCAAGGACCGTCGTAGGTTACGCAAGAGACTGTTTATTTCTGTCATTTGCCTCATCTACAGAAGTCTCTCGTACCACACTGACTTTCTGAATGCGATCTACCATACTTCATGCCTACGCCTATGCTGACTTTCATCCTCCTACTACGGCCATCCCTCTCATGAGACAAGAGCCTTAACCTCTACGATGGCTCTACATAGAACTGTTCCCTTCACGGCATCATGAAGGGTTGTTTTTGGAGTTTGGACACAGTCTTTGTCTCACACTACCTCCGGGATCTGTCAGTCACTGACGTGGAAGGTGTTCACCAACTGGGTCCTTTGGTCCTGGCGCAGCAGTTGTCGCCGGCTCGCAAACACAGATATGATGCAGTTCCTATCTTCGTGTAGGTTTTGCATTCTTTATATCATGAAAGATATTGGTATCTTTCTTATTGGTATGGATTAATATATGTGGGCATAGACCACCTCACCTAGGGAACTAGGGCGTGTCTGCACTGTCATAGATATGACTCGATAGACTGAGAGGCCAGTCTTGTGCTACATGCAGAGGTGGTCGACACTCCGCTTACTGACCTCTACTCTTTGAGCAATTACGTCAGTGGAGTGTTGATATCCGATTACCTACATGGTTTTCGAAGCATTCCGCTCCTAAGTCCTTTCTCAGCTTTGGTAAGTTAGGGGGATTGGTACTGAACGTTAAACAAGTTGAGCAACCGGGCTATTCTCTCTTTCACTGCCTTCCAGCGTGTGTCTGTGTGTGGTAGTTCCGAAGCAGGGACTGGCCAGATTAAGGTCTTCAACTTTAATTCACTGGGGTCACCTGATAAATCGCGGGGCGGCGGGACCTACTTGCCAAGCAGCGTCCTTTTGCTTGTCAAAAGTTGCGGCTGGAAAACACATTAATTCGGGAGCGCCCACTTCGGGAGAGAGTTTTTGTGCTGTGTAAGCCAAGGGGTTACCTGAAGAAACCCATCTCAAGTTTGGAGTTTGCATATCGGGAGTTGGTGCTTTCTCCTGGCCTCCTTGGGTTATGCGTCTTCACGGTTGTAAGTATTGACAGGGTAATCTGCAGCCCTCCTACCAACCGTGGGATTATGCATACCGTGAGATAGGATACATTTAAAAATTTGAAAATTTACTATAAATTGTATATTTATATACTTATCCTATCTCACGCGATGGATACCCACCCGACCTGCCCCACATCACTGATTACTGGAAGCTCCAACCCGAGAATGACAGGCACAGGTTGTCATGTGATCATCTGAGCGAGCTGCACGCTTATGGAGATGATTGACAGGTGCTGTTGTCGGAGTGGGGTCAGAGGTCGGTTGGTCAGAGGCCAGTAAGATTTGATTCAACTTAGCCTACAGCACTTTTCCACAAATGGTTGTAGAAGAAGAGGAGAGGTGCATACCGTGAGATAGGATAAGTATATAAATATACAATTTATAGTAAAATTTTCAATTTCTGTAACCTCCTGTTTCAGAAAGAGGCTGAGAGGTTGAAGGAGGCCCGGCAAGGAAACAACATGGAGGAGAGCCTAAAGCTAGCGGAGGCAGAGCTTGCACAAGTTCGGGCAGCTCTTCGTCGCACAGAGAAGGAACTGGAGCTGCAAGAGCACTGGTCCGTTCCATCTGAGCTGCAGGCCTGGTTGCAGCTCACGCATGAGTTGGAGCAGGTACACTACACAGCGAAACGATCTGCAGCTGAGAAGCAGCTCTCTGTGGCCAAGGAAGGGGTATGTAGTTAGCTGTCCAGTAATAAAATTGTTTATACACCTGGTGCCTGTATATGAAGGTGTTTCATGGTCATAACTCACAGGAGGTAGTATTATGCTCAAAGCAGGCAACACGGAGGAATACCTCCACAGTGGCTTCATGCTGTTAATATAGTGTGTTATCTTATCTGGGACCAGTAAATGAATAGAAAATTATGCTAAATAATTTCTATTTACAGTGTGATAAAATCCGAAAGAGGAATAAGGCGTTTCTGGGGTCACTACGGATGGCCCATGGAAACTCTCTGGATGACATTGACCAAAGAATCCTTACTGCCAGGTAATGACAAACGTAAACTCAGTAGGGTTTTGTACACTTCACTAAACAAGATCTGGAGGTAATACATTTAGTATGAATTGTATTTGGTTGTAGACATATGACATTACTGTCACGGGTTGGTTATAGACGTGTGACATTACTATCACGGGTTGGTTATAGACGTGTGAAATTATTGTCACTGGTTGGTTATATACGTGTAACATTACTGTCACAGGTTGGTTATAGACATATGACATTACTGTCACGGGTTGGTTATAGACGTGTGACATTACTGTCATGGGTTGGTTAAATACGTGTGACATTAGTGTCACGGGTTGGTTATAGATGTATGACATTACTGTCACGGGTTGGTTGTTGACATGTGACATTACTGTCACTGGTTGGTTGTAGACGTGACATTACTGTCACTGGTTGGTTATGGACGTGTGACATTAGTGTCACTGGTTGGTCATAGACGTGTGACATTACTGTCACTGGTTGGTAGTAGACATATGACATTACTGTCACTGGTTGGTCGTAGACATGTGACATTACTGTCACGGGTTGGTTGTTGACATGTGACATTACTGTCACTGGTTGGTTGTAGACGTGACATTACTGTCACTGGTTGGTTATGGACGTGTGACATTAGTGTCACTGGTTGGTCATAGACGTGTGACATTACTGTCACTGGTTGGTAGTAGACATATGACATTACTGTCACTGGTTGGTCGTAGACATGTGACATTACTGTCACGGGTTGGTTGTTGACATGTGACATTACTGTCACTGGTTGGTTGTTGACATGTGACATTGCTGTCATGGGTTGGTTGTAGACATGTGACATTACTGTCATGGGTTGGTTATAGACGTGACATTGTTGTCACGGGTTGGTTATAGATTTATGACATTACTGTCACGGGTTGGTTGTAGACATGTGACATTACTGTCACGGGTTGGTTGTAGACATGTGACATTACTGTCATGGTTTGGGTGTAGACATGTGACATTACTGTCATGGGTTGGTTGTAGACATGTGACATTACTGTCACGGGTTGGTTGTTGACATGTGACATTACTGTCACTGGTTGGTTGTTGACATGTGACATTACTGTCACGGGTTGGTTGTTGACATGTGACATTACTGTCACTGGTTGGTTGTAGACATGTGACATTACTGTCACTGGTTGGTCGTAGACATATGATATTACTGTCACTGGCTGGTTGTAGACATGTGACATTACTGTCACGGGTTGGTTATAGATGTGTGACATTACTGTCACAGGTTGGTTGTAGACATGTGACATTACTCTCACGGGTTGGTCATAGACGTGTGACATTACTGTCATAGGTTGGTTATAGACGTGTGACATTACTCTCACGGGTTGGTCATAGACGTGTGACATTACTGTCATAGGTTGGTTATAGACATGTGACATTACTGTCACGGGTTGGTTGTTGACATGTGACATTACTGTCACTGGTTGGTTGTTGACATGTGACATTACTTTCATGGGTTGGTTGTAGACATGTGACATTCTGTCACGGGTTGGTTGTAGACATGTGACATTACTGTCACTGGTTGGTCGTAGACATATGGTATTACTGTCACTAGTTGGTTGTAGACATGTGACATTACTCTCTCGGGTTGGTCATAGACGTGTGACATTACTGTCATAGGTTGGTTATAGATGTGTGACATTACTGTCACAGGTTGGTTGTAGACATGTGACATTACTCTCACGGGTTGGTCATAGACGTGTGACATTACTGTCATAGGTTGGTTATAGACGTGTGACATTACTGTCACGGGTTGGTTGTAGATGTGTGAAATTACTGTCACTTGTTGGTTGTAGACGTGACATTAGTGTCACGGGTTGGTTGTAGACGTGTGACATTACTGTCACGGGTTGGTTGTAGATACATGATATAACTGACATTGGTTGGTTGTAGACAAGCCTTTGAGGAGGTGAAGCAGGACCTACAAGAGCGTCTGCACCGCTGGCAGACCATTGAGGAGCTGTGTGGTTTCATCATCATGAGTAACCCTGGCCTGCCCACACTTCGACAGATACTGCAGAAAGACCCAGGTAGAGTCTTCACATAGCTATATCCTCATCTCTGTACCCACATTCTGCTGCAGCACCTCACAGGGCTGGCCTCTGTGACTCTGGCATAGATCAGGACCAGGGCCTTCTTTCACAAAGCACTAAGGTGGTCGCAAGTCACTAAGGTAACCTTAGTGCAATGTTACAGAGTGGGAGTTAAGGTTAACCTTAGTAAAGGTTGCTTCATGAAAGGAGCCCCAGTACAACTAAAGTACTGTCGGAAATAGAAAAGAACTGATTTTTCGCATTTATGTCTACAATTTATGTAGTTAATATATGAAAGTGTGAAATATCTGTTAAACTAAGTTCAGCCTAACTACAGTCTCAGTGGTAGAGAGATAAGAAACGTAGACAAGGACTTTACTGAGGAGAGATTAGTGCAGAAATAAGTCCAAAGCAAATTATTTGGAACAGACCATGACTTTATGCAAATTAGTGTGCAATGATACTGTATTGCAATGGACACTTTTTAAATGCCCATTTTAATAATAAACTTAAGTTTATTTTTAACGATAGCTGACATAAACAATAATAACTTTAATACGGAAACTATTAAGGATGTAGCTACCATGGAGTCTCACTATCACTATAAAAAGACACCCGTGAAGATCCGGGATAGAATAGGTCTTCAGCAACCCATGCTTGCCACAAAAGGCGACTATGCTTGTCATAAGAGGCGACTAACGAGATCGGGTGGTCAGGCTTGCTGACTTGGTTGACACATGTCATTGGTTTCCAATTGTGCAGATCTATGCTCATGCTGTTGATCACTGGATTGTCTGGTCCAGACTCGATTATTTACAGACCACCGCCATATAGCTGGAATATTGCTGAGTGCGGCGTAAAACTAAACTCACTCACTCACTCACTATAAAAAGAAACAGGTAGGAGGGGTGGTCTCAAACGGTGTGTCAGGACGGGTGTCACAGACGGTGGTTGGGGCTGGGCTGGGTGATAGAGATATCAGCTGAGATAAGATAATCCTTTAGGGGAATTAAACTGGGGAAGTAAACGGCATGTCATAATAATTTACAAATACTATCAAGTCCTGTCGATCATCGGGTGGTCACGCCACTTATATATTTTGAGACATTTAATACGAAGGCTGATTTAAGCTTTTCTATGGGTATCATACTCTTTTACATATCTCCACATAAACTTTGTGAAAGAAAGACACGTAAGATGTCAATCAATAGATGAGACATATTCAACACACTTGAGAAAGCATAAAATATCTTTGAGATGACCCCTTGTGCCTGTAGATAGCGCATGCATTTCATGCCAGTTGAGTCGACGGTCCGTCGTCATACTTGGCTGAGCAGACCTAATTGCCATCTATAGTCTGATCTATTGTTTTCAGCAGCTATTTTTTCTAAGGTTTGCCCAATTTTACAAGTAAACATGCTTTTCTGGATATCCTATTACGCATTCCACTGAATGCCCAGTTAGGCCAGGATATTTCGACATATGCTATTTGCAATTCTGTAAAGTTTAGGGACACAGAATAATAGACTAAAAACAGTTTTTTTCTATTTCCGACTTTAGAGAGACACACACAGTGGTCCACTTAGGCATCACTGTACATTGTCCAGAGTTGTGGCCCTTGAACACACCACAAACCTATGATTGAAGGTTCGGATCCCAGTTTGCCTGATTATGCTCATAGGTTTGTCAGTACTTGGTGGTGTCACCAAAGTGGTAATTGTCAGAGAGTTGCATCATCTGTCCTCCAGTATTTGAGCTGACATCCCATGATGTACATGGAGCGTAGACCAAGCCAGAGCCCAACTTGTGCGTGTAGATTACAAAACAAGTGCAGTAATCTTCAACACAGTGTTAAATCCTGTTTTTCCTCACACTCTGGTACCGACAACTACAGCTGCAGATAACTTGACAACAACATACTGGTTAAGTACAATCAATGATTCATGTTTGGTGTGGCAGGCCAAGGAGGTCGTGTGGGGTCGTCCATCCTGGGCCCGGTCGGCGTGGAGGAAGCTGATGAAGACCTGCCTCCAGCCTACCCTACTGGTGAGTACAGGCTGTAGGCAGTGTTCACTGTAGTAAAGGTACAGGCTGTAGGCAGAGAGTTCACTGTAGTAAAGGTACATGCTGTAGGCAGAGAGTTCACTGTAGTAAAGGTACATGCTGTAGGCAGAGAGTTCACTGTAGTAAAGGTACATGCTGTAGGCAGAGTGTTCACTGTAGTAAAGGTACCGGCTGTAGGCAGAGAGTTCACTGTAGTAAAGGTACATGCTGTAGGCAGAGAGTTCACTGTAGTAAAGGTACATGCTGTAGGCAGAGAGTTCACTGTAGTAAAGGTACAGGCAGTAGGCAGAGTACAGGCTGAATGATATACAGTAAACAGTGGTTGAGTGATATACAGTACACAAAGCGTTAGTAGACACACGGGGTAGATATGCCGTAAAGAGAGGGTGGGTGATATGCAGTAAACAGAGGGTGGCTTATATGCAGTAAACAGAGTTTGGGTGATATTCAGTAAACAGAGGGTGGACGATGTTCAGTAAACAGAGGGTTGGTGATATGCAGTAAACATAGATGGATGAGTATGCCTTGTTATGCCATCTATCTGCCGATAGCGCCAGCTATGTGTACATGTAGTGACGCAGCCCCTACAGCAGGTGTACCACCACATCCTTGTCATGTACACCTCAAACCAACACTTCTGCCAAGGTTATGTTTCATCATCATCATCATCATCATATTATTATTATTATTATATATCATATTTATGACTTGATGTCCCAGAACAGCTGTTTTACTTCTGTTTAAGGAGTTTAAATCAAGATGCAATCACAAGGATTGATAGAGAAGTGTTTTAACTTGTGTAAGAATTATGACAGGCAACTCTGTACACCAAAGTAAACATTTTCCTGTTGTACTTCCTCATCTCACTGCAGTCATTCCTCGTTGTAATGCAAGGGTCTCACTGTAACATGTGTTGCCATATCATGCCTGCTCTCACATACAAACCCCTCCTTGTGTTGACAGTTGTACATTCCACAGTATCTAATGGTACGAGCCGTCCACGTGCCTTGTCAGGTAGGCGATGCTCTTGTGTGTTGTCACAGCATGGTGGGTGACCTGACAGCTGCGGCAGCTGGCTCCGTCCACATAGGAACACTTGGACCTGTCTGGGGCTTTATAGCCATGCAATGATAGCTGTTGTTAGGAAAATAGCATCAGTTATGTGAATAGTAAATGGTACACTGAATGGTACCAGTGTGTATTTCACAAAATACATCTCTATAAATGATGCCATTATTATCCTCGTAAGATAACAACAAAGAGATGTATTATCTGTTTGTCATTAGATGCGACTCATTGCATTTCACAACCAGACAGGTTCACGTTTTCCTACTAAACACAGTAGAACTTAATCCTAGTCACTTATGAATATTGCACCTACACATTGTGTTTGGAATTGAGATGTGTATGTTTCCTAACAATTTTTAACAATAAGTGTCAGTTACAGTGTATTGTTTAATATGTGTGTCGTATTGATCCAGTGTTCTTGCAAAGGGTTAAAGGGAGGTAACTCTCGTGGATCTGTGGATTGTTTCACAATCTCTGTTGTGTGACACCACAATGTGGTCAGTTTCCGTATCTCCTTCTATTGGTTGAGAAGCCGTAGTAACCCCTCATCCATTCCTTGCACCCAGATTCTTAGAGTCTTCTGTCCATGCACCAGATGTAAATAAATCCATCTAACGGAGGTTACCAGCCCTCATTCTAATGGTTCTATGTGGTTTTATGAAATCCTTGGTTTTACTGAAATATTTTTTACATTTTATTCCACTGTGGGAAATACTGGTTTGTATAAGGGTAAGACTATATTTGGAATGATGTGACTGACAGCCATACCTACATGTTTTACAGTAAATGGTTTCATTGTTTATGATGTACATAAGCTACGCTGTTGATCGTTACAAATGCTACTTGCTAACGTCTCAGTTACTCAAAGTACAGTATGAATAACTTCATCAACTGCATATTAATGATTGTTACAAAGATAGTTGGTCATGAACAGTCATGACTAACACGGTCGTTTAGTTCTTGTTATTATGTGATGCAAGAAGACATTATGTTTGGATAAAGTAATGTCCCATGTTGTGAAGGCAACATGGTTGTGTCAGATATGGCCGTCCAATCCCAGCTGGTAAGCATCCTACGTCTGACTGGTTCCTATTTCAGTTCAAGTGGAGCACATGTCCTATAACCCGTCTTTCAGCTCCCTGAAGAGCAGCTCCATGAAAGCTCCCTATTCTAGGAGTAAGATCTGCTAGTTTGTGTTGCTATGGTTACAGTTTGATGTCTGTATGCTGACTTCCTCTGCTGTAGACGCATGTAGGCTTGTCCATGTTTCACTAGGTGTGTAGTCCGGTGTTACCATCAATACTGGAATGTGTTGAGGACCTGTTCCCACATACAGCAGGACCACTCCCCTGCCTTGGTCTGCCTCTGTCATGTTGTACTCTGTTCTAATGGATGGCACACACTATTCTTCTCTATCAACATTTCATGGTCTTTTCAGTAGATGAAGCATATAAGCATGGCGAAACCTAAAAATAACAACATTATCACCTTCCTGAGAACATTATCACCTCCTGAGAACATTATCACCTTTCTGAGAACATTATCACCTTCATGACAACATTATTTCCTTGCAAAAAATTAAATTCTCCTTACCAATGTCAGTCAATGGGGAAAAAAGTTATTCAAGAAAACTTTTGAAATATAAAGATGAAAGCCAACAATATACAGATACTGTGCCAACTTGGAATTGCAAAGTCTGGTATATATATGTCATTTGAGATAACAAGATAATTGCCATGATCAAGAGAGGTACAGCAGTATAGTGCAACATGTATAGTATTCAAATTCATTGTAAATATGTTCATTATGATATTCCACAGCTAGATACACTGTACATATAACAGTATAGAATATCATCAAGTCATATGTGAGATACACTATCACGATCAGAGAAAGCATGTGTTGCAGCTTTAATGGTCATTCAAATTTATTGGAAAATAAGGGATACGCGAGATCAATAACTGGATGTTAACATTTTTGTAGGAAAATAGAAATTTTACTAAGTTGAGTATGGGTGACAGGAACTTCCAGATGAACAGCCAGGGAGACGGGATTTTATTTGTCAAATATCAAGTATGGGTGGGTGTGCGTGCATGTGTGTGCACATGTTTTGCATCGTGTGTGTCTGTCTGTCTGTCTGTATAATCATACTGACCTGGTATATCAGATATCTGCCTGGTATTTTATAGTATTCACCTTATCTACTTGCTGGTATACCATTGTCAGTATATATATTGCATTTTGGCTTGTACAGCACAACCTCCATGTAATATTCACCTAGTTAGACAGTGGAAATCATCCTAGTTTGTCAGTCATGTCATGTGTTCTCCAAGGGAATTTTGTGTGAAAATGGTTTCCAGCGAGTGTTTCTTGAAATAGAAATGTTGACAGAAAGGGAATCATGTGATTACCGTATATCACCATAGATAAGCCGATCTCATAGATAAGACGACCCCCTAACTTAACCCTTCAGATCAGTTTCAAAATGACATGTTCCAAAGATAAGCCGACCTCTCTTCTCTTCCCCCCCAACCTTTGCTCATCTTTCCGTCATGATCAGTCAGCGGGAATAATGTCAACAAATCCATATTTAATTGCACAAGTTTATCCTCCAATATTTACAACTTTGGTCTGCATTATACACAGCAATCACTAGCATATTGCGTCTACTCACACCTCACAATGAAGTATAGTTAACAGAAAATGGATACATATACATGTTTTGTTTTGCTAAAAGTCATATTTATTGTTGCTGGACGATCACATGTCAACAAACTGTCTTCTCTAGTTTGTTCATGCGAAGCGATATAATGTTTTTTCTTAGCCCCTGAAAAAAAGTTTGACGAAAGTGTAACCCATAGATAAGCCAATCCCCTTCTACAGACTACTTTTGGTGGTCCTCAAAATTCGTCTTATCTATGGTAATATACAGTAAACATTATCTCTGATTGGAAGGGAGGTAACTCTCATAGATCTGGGGCTTGTTTCCCATATCTACATGGCTGACCAAAAGGAAATCTCATAGATAAACATTATTTCTGATTGGAAGGGAGGTAACTGTGGTTTGAGAAAGCCTCTCCTCATGATATTGTCTGTAGCTTTTGTCTGTACACACCCAGCACTGTATCAGCAACAACACCTCGTACTGTGGTAGTAGCACTTTAGATGTTCAGCTTGGTATCAGTTGGATGAAATTGCTGTGAAATGGGGGTGGTGGGGTAGCCTAATGGTTAAAGCATTTGCTCATCACGCTGAAGACCCGGGTTCGATTCCCCACATGGGTACAATGTGTGAAGCCCATTTCTGGTGTCCCCCTGCCGTGATATTACTGGAATATTGCTAAAAGCGACATAAATTCCAACTCACTGTTGTGAAATGATTAATGTTGTCACAAATGCTCTGATTGTAGATGTTGATGGACATCATGTAGCATTATTGTAAGGAGGGATGTGATGGCTGAACGTCACTGGGAATTGTAGATGTTGATGGACAGCATGTAGCATTATTGTAAGGAGGGATGTGATGGCTGAACGTCACTGGGAAGTGTAGATGTTGATGGACAGCATGTAGCATTATTGTAAGGAGGGATGTGATGGCTGAACGTCACTGGGAAGTGTAGATGTTGATGGACAGCATGTAGCATTATTGTAAGGAGGGATGTGATGGCTCAACGTCACTGGGAATTGTAGATGTTGATGGACAGCATGTAGCATTATTGTAAGGAGGGATGTGATGGCTCAACGTCACTGGGAATTTAACCATGTCAGTGATCAAGTCAAATCGGTTGCCCATGTATGAGAGTCTGTGTTTATTCATGTTTCTCATATTTATGTACATTTCTTGTGTCAATTCTTTAAGCTTATACATTTACATATGCAAGTTTTATGCTTCAACAAACAAATGTTTAATGAATCTTTTTTCCTGTTTATTTTCAGGCCTATATGATTTTCTTAATAAAGGTACTTGCAGTATTGACCTCTGTCCTCTCTGTTGCACTGTCTGTGGCTTCAGCCAGTAACAGCACCCATATCTCAGTCTGGTTTAACAAACAGGCTTTGCCATTGCTTCAGTTTATAATCAGGTATCAATTTCATAGTTCCTCATAAAAGTGTGGGAGGGGAGGGGGATTAACAGTCATATACAGGAAACTGGTGGCAGTGTGATCTTCTGGTTCTGTCTACAGGTTCTGTGTGTTTAAGTAACACTGGGCTGTATTCTTGCACAAACAGTATTCACTGAAGACCCACGACCAAGCTGGAGGTCCAGGTTACCAGTTGTATTGTGGGTTCATCTTTTCCTTCACATTAATCAACTTGGTTGTGAGGTGTTCTTCTTGGCTGTTGAGGCCACTTTCTTATGACATGGGAGTCTGGAACTGCGGCAACCTGGAATCACATATCTGTTGTCATTATATATGCTTTCTTCCTGGACATCAGTATAATTTTGCAAACTGATTCCATATTCTGCTGTTAAAAAGCTTTTTATTGACCATTCCGATTTCCATTTTTTATAAAACTCTAACTGCACTTTTTTTTGCTCCCTTGGTGAGTTTATCATTGTTGTTGATGTGGACTCCGCAGCAACCCTGTGTTTAGTCCTGTTGGCTCACTTTGGCAGTACATTGTTCTGGACCATGATTCAAGATGGTAGACAGGGCAGCCATGTTAGATTAAAAAACAATTCTCCTCAGAATCATAGCACTTATGGAGGCAAAACTTGACAGAGATACACGGGCCAGCAGTTTCTTATCCATTTGTGTTGCTGCCCACCTGCCATGTGTTAAAGCTGCCATGACTTTGTGAAAAATGTTGTTCACTTTTGAAACAGCTGTTCTGATATGGGAACAATGTTGTTAAGAATCTGTTGAGATATTGTGTCTTGTGTTGTTTCCTTGGTGTTGTGGTGTTTCCATACCAAGCTGGTGTGTGGTAGCCTCGAGCTTGTGTTGTCCAAGTCTTCAGGCTCACACACCAGGCTCACACACCGGGCTGACACACCAGGCTCACACACCAGTCTCACACACCATCATATAGCTGACATACAGTTGATGTACCACATCAAACACACACTCACATTTGCTGTGGACCCCGATGAAGTAAAGCTATTTTCTGATGGAAAATCTCACAAAAGCATCTGTTGATATCAAACTTGATTAGCTATTGATTATTTCAAAACACACAAACGTCAGATTAAATTCATTATCAAAATTGATTTTTGCAACTTCTCAGTGTCTGGTGTGAAAGGTCCGACTACCACGCCTCAGTGACAGACATGAGTAGTGTCAGTTGATTGTGGCAGTCATGGCAATGGATCCTGTGGATGATCAAATAGATTATTAATGTACGTGCATGTTGTCAAGTGAAAATGATTTTAGGATATGAAAGTTGAGCATGTTTTACTGTAGTGTCAGAAGGTAGAGTCCAAGAGGTGACAGGGTCTGTTGTTGAATGGCAATAGATTTATCTTATCTTGACTACTAGCCCATAAGTTTCCCATACTAACAAGCACCTCATCCCATACTGAGCCTGTTATAAACATAGATAGTTACTGAAATACTCTGTCTTGATGCTACATACAATACTGGCATGATGTTATAGTTGATTTACGTGTATGTTGTTCTATGGCCCTAGTACCAGTCTATTGTTTCATATACATGGTTGTGTATTGTGTTGCATTTTGTGCTCATGATCATACTTTAAATCTTCTGTAACTTTGTGTGATTGAGACTATGATGTTGTCGTAGGGTTCTGCTTGTTGAGAAGACATTGAGAGTTGATCCAACCTAGCACAGATTATATACAGCAAATAGAAACTAGATGTTCACCCTATTGTGGTCTTAGTGTATGTGTATCTGTTCATGTCCTATGTGTACAGATGTTCACATGTTTCAAGATGTTTTTGAGTTCTCAGGCTTTTACTGATTGAGACACATAGTGTTTTGTAGATGATGGCTGTTGAACATTTGTCAGTCGTCGGCATCTTAACATGTAAACATTTCCTCCGCCATTACACATACATAAGGGACGGATGGGTAGCCTAGTGGTTAAAGTGTTCGCTCATCACACCGAAGACCCGAGTTTGATTCCCCACATGGGTGTGAAGGCCATGTCTGTTGTCCCACAAGGGTGGCCATGATGATCACCCAGTCCCTTCTGTTCCAGCGTATAACCCTGCCTCCCAAACCAAAGCGAGTGTTACTCGGCTACGGACTACTGCAAGTTCGGGCAGCACTGGTTCCTTGAGTCGGGTTGGACTCAGTAACGGTAGCTCCAGACAGTCAGACAGTCCAAGTCCCTCAGACCATGGGTCTGTCGGCCCGGTCTCATTCCACCTCGGAGAGAAGTGAGTAGATACCTCTTTAGGATTCTCGTAATCCAATAGCTTTGCATGACTAGTTACAATAAAACAGGGATGTGCCACTTGCTGGGTGTGTCTGGATACTGTTGTATTAGATAAGTTGAGGTTAGTGTCTTGTGGAGCTATTCTTTATTTTTATATTTTCCTTTTGCTGAATTTTCAAATTGACAAATAAGTTTCCTTTTTTGATATGATGAAGAGGTACACTTTGTATGGATAGACAACTTCTCTATCGCATCTAGTGCAATAAAGAAGATGTCTATCCATAAAAAGTGTTCCTCTTCCAGTTTCTATTTGTTGTTATTCTCACTACATAGCAAGGAAGCAGTTTGACTTAATATTTATTCAATAGTTATTGATCATTCAAGGATGTGAAATGGTTGCCTCCTGAATACGGAAATGGTATATATATTTGGTATGTTCATCAAGTAAAGTCTGACTGATCCTCAATAACCCACAGTAACATGGGTGGAAAAGAAACTGTTCAGATGTGCATCGTACCCTCCAATGTTCAAGTAGTGGCTTCAGTGCTGACGATGTCTGTCACTGGATTGTGTGCTTTAGACTTGCGTATTTACAGACTTCAATCAATAGCAGACAAACAAATCATTTAGCAGCAAGGAACAGCCTGATGCTGAATCTCCTGATGTTACTGTCGGTCTGAAGGTATGCAGGATCAGAAGGTGGCAAAACCCAGCAGGTGGCATGTTACTCTCCTACAGTAGACCTACCTTCAAGCAAGGTTTGAGGATCAGCTTCATATCAAATTTACCTGGCTTTCTCCAATATTGACGAGATTCAATTTTGACATCTCTTCCCCGTCATAAAAAGTTGTATTTTGTACATTTACTTGTTTTTCAATATTTGAATATTTTTTTATCATTCTTTAAAATATATATTCAATTTTTACTTTTTTGTTTAATGCTTACAAATGATGGATGATTTTAATATATTTGAAATTCTTTTTTTCAACATGAACTGTTAAAGCTTACACAAATAAGTGAATTATGTTACATTTACAAACATTATATGTGGAAAGTTGTCAAGAAAATGGTTCAGTAAAGTGAGTTCCCATGAGTAGGACCTGGATCAGTCGTGACATGTTTCTGTGGTAACTCCTCTGATGTTGTTGCAGGAACTGATTACAAAGGTACGTCCTCTGAAATCAGGAATGGAATGACCTCATTTAATTTGGCATGCATGCTGACCCCGAGCCAGGCTTGAGACTTAAGTCCTCCTCCTCCCCGTACTGACAATAACACATTGCCCTGTGTGGCTGCTGACTGCTGCATCAGAGGGATCTGTGTCGATCTGTCCGTGTACTAACCAGGATGATGAACACTGTCCTCCTATGTTATCATGACCACATTAACTGTTATCATGCATCTGTATACATAATAGGGCCTCAGTATTACAATGTTTAATGTTTATTTTAGGTGTTAGGATGTTCCCTGGGAAATCATTGGTTCTTTCAGACATATATACAGATGCATGATTATGGAAACTAACCATTTTTATACGTTATGCAACATTATCGCCATGGAAACAAGTATGCATGTATTTAAAACATAAACCTTGTGTTTCATTGCTGCTAGGACATTTTTTCACAGTGACTACCCAAATGGAGAAACCATGTCCGCCGCTAGGTCGAGATGGCAACTGTCTTTACGACTTCTTGCTGCGAGAAAAAAGTAAATTAATTAATTCATTATTTCCTGGAATGACAATGAGTGTTTTTGTTTGTGTAGATTTGAGCCTACTCTTTGACCTCTGACCTTCCTGTCATTCTGCACGTTTTCACTACAGTAGTCTATTAAAAAGAATTGTTCACCAAATGCCAGTGAATAACAGACTCCCAGGTATGGGAGTGGTGTGGAAGATAGTATCTGGCATTAATGAATGGGTAGCATCAACACCTGTAGACCAGCAACCTGAAAAAGCACTGCAACACGCTGAAGAATTGCTGACTTATATTAACTCTGTAGGAATTTCCAAGGACTCATTAGACTTTGCATTAGGCTCTTCTCTGTAAGTACAGTCAAGGAATATAGAAAGGTGTAGGCACTTCTCTGTAAGTACAGTCAAGGAATATAGAAAGGTGTAGGCACTTCTCTGTAAGTACAGTCAAGGAATATAGAAAGGTGTAGGCACTTCTCTGTAAGTACAGTCAAGGAATATAGAAAGGTGTAGGCACTTCTCTGTAAAGTCAAGGAATATAGAAAGGTGTAGGCACTTCTCTGTAAGTACAGTCAAGGAATATAGAATGGTGTGGGCACTTCTCTGTAAGTACAGTCAAGGAATATAGAATGGTGTAGGCACTTCTCTGTAAGTACAGTCAAGGAATATAGAAAGGTGTAGGCACTTCTCTGTAAGTACAGTCAAGGTATATAGAAGGGAGTAGGCTTTTCTCTGTATGTACAGTCAAGTTGCATGAAAGGGAATATGGAAAGGGGTAGATCGTCTCTGTAAGTACTATCAGTGAATATGGAAGGGGTAGATCGTCTCTGTAAGTACTATCAGTGAATATGGAAGGGGTAGATCGTCTCTGTAAGTACTATCAGTGAATATGGAAGGGGTAGATCGTCTCTGTAAGTACTATCAGTGAATATGGAAGGGGTAGATCGTCTCTGTCAGTACTATCAGTGAATATGGAAGGGGTAGATCGTCTCTGTCAGTACTATCAGTGAATATGGAAGGGGTAGATCCATCTCTGTAAGTACATGGAATAGAGTATTTAATGAGCACGTCTCTTCTGGAGGTACCATCAGCGGATACAAGGGGAATATGAACTGTGTTAGACAGCCTCTTGGTAACAAACTGGGGAGTTGGAAGTTGGATGTTTTTCTGCATGTTTTCTGTGTCAACTTTATCTTTCCAGTGGAGTATGAGCAATCATTTAGAACCCTGTGTGTCGTTCAGCAACATAGATATTGTGTCCGCATGTAAACATTAGAAGTGTTTGTAATCTGGTGTTTTATTACTAAAGCTTCTATTATATTAATTCATGGTACATACAGAGGATACTAGCCTAGTTTATTGACAAATAGCATGTTTCTTGCATCTGGTACTGCAACAAACCTGATTACATGGAGTGAAAATTTCATTAGATGATTGAAACTTGTTACTGACAAGAAAAAGTGTCTATAATGTGTGTTCTTGCATTTTTATTATGTTTTCCCTGAAAAACAAAGTACCGTGACGTTAAAGACAAATACAGTTGTAGCTTGAAGTGTTCACTCGTCAATCTGAATGTCATTACTGTATTATACATCTATCAAAATTAATAAATGATTATGTTATGATGTCAGATTAATTGAATATCAAAGATGAACCTTTTTTATGAAAAATTAAATACAAGTACAAAACAAAATATGTTTTTGTTCATAAGTAACAACATTATTTTGCCTTGCTGCTGTTATGTAGGATTACAACTTCAGATTCATCAATTCTTCCATTCCTCCCTGTAACGGGTGCTGCATGGCGACACGAGGGACCAGTGTTGTTTTCTGAGCCAAGCACCTCTGTCCACATACGTCTCCCACCCCAGTACCTGAGTGCACCTCTGTCCACATACGTATCCCACCCCAGTACCTGGGTGCACCTCTGTCCACACATCTCCCACCCAAGTACCTGGGTGCACCTCTGTCCACATACATCTCCCACCCCAGTACCAGGGTGTAACAACATTATTTAAACAGGTCTATTTTGCCTTGCTGCTGTTATGTAGGATTACAACTACAGATTCATCAATTCTTCCATTCCTCCCTGTAACGGGTGCTGCGTGGCGACACGAGGGACCAGTGTTGTTTTCTGAGCCAAGCACCTCTGTCCACATACGTCTCCCACCCCAGTACCTGAGTGCACCTCTGTCCACATACGTATCCCACCCCAGTACCTGGGTGCACCTCTGTCCACACATCTCCCACCCAAGTACCTGGGTGCACCTCTGTCCACATACGTCTCCCACCCCAGTATCTGGGTGCACATCTGTCCACACACGTCTCCCACCCCAGTACCTGGGTGCACCTCTGTCCACATCGTCTCCCACCCCCCACCCCCACCCCAGTACCTGGGTGCACCTCTGTCCACATCGCCTCCCCACCCCAGTACCAGGGTGCACCTCTGTCCACACATCGTCTCCCACCCCAGTATCTGGGTGCACCTCTGTCCACATCGTCTCTCCCACCCCAGTACCTGGGTGCACCTCTGTCCACATCGTCTCCCACCCCAGTACCAGGGTGCACCTCTGTCCACACACGTCTCCCACCCCAGTACCAGGGTGCACCTCTGTCCACATCGTCTCCCACCCCAGTACCTGGGTGCACCTCTGTCCACATCGTCTCCCCACCCCAGTACCAGGGTGCACCTCTGTCCACACACGCGTCTCCCACCCCAGTACCAGGGTGCACCTCTGTCCACATACGTCTCCCACCCCAGTACCAGGGTGCACCTCTGTCCACACACGTCTCCCACCCCAGTACCAGGGTGCACCTCTGTCCACATACGTCTCCCACCCCAGTACCTGGGTGCACCTCTGTCCACACATCTCCCACCCCAGTACCAGGGTGCACCTCTGTCCACATCGTCTCCCACCCCAGTACCAGGGTGCACCTCTGTCCACATCGTCTCCCACCCAAGTACCAGGGTGCACCTCTGTCCATATCGTCTCCCATCCCAGTACCAGGGTGCACCTCTGTCCACACTGTCCCACCCCAGTACCAGGGTGCACCTCTGTCCATATCGTCTCCCCATCCCAGTACCAGGGTGCACCTCTGTCCACATCGTCTCCCACCCCAGTACCTGGGTGCACCTCTGTCCACACATCTCCCACCCCAGTACCAGGGTGCACCTCTGTCCACACACGTCTCCCACCCCAGTACCAGGGTGCACCTCTGTCCACATACGTCTCCCACCCCAGTACCAGGGTGCACCTCTGTCCACACACGTCTCCCACCCCAGTACCAGGGTGCACCTCTGTCCACATACGTCTCCCACCCCAGTACCAGGGTGCACCTCTGTCCACACACGTCTCCCACCCCAGTACCAGGGTGCACCTCTGTCCACATACGTCTCCCACCCCAGTACCAGGGTGCACCTCTGTCCACATACGTCTCCCACCCCAGTACTAGGGTGCACCTCTGTCCATATACGTCTCCCATCCAAGTACCCTGGTGCTAAATATCCTCCAGTTATCCTGGCCAGTCCTCCTCATAACTGTATCTCTCCCTCGACAACACTGTACAATCCCTCGTTTCATCACACTCCACCAAAGGTCAACACAGACACATTTTCACTGTGCAACTTTACAAAATCTCTGCCAGACAACCCGTGTATTTCTTCATGTAAACTATTTGGTTGGTTGTTGTTGATTCTGCTTGGTGACTAACCTCTCTCTGTTCTGGTGTCTGTCTTCTCTGCATGGTTTAGGGGGCAGGGCTTGAGGCGAGGGGACAACATTAGACTGCTGCATGTAAGTTGCTGTCATCATCTGCGTCTGTTGTGTGGCATGTAGATCCAGGCAGTCAGACTGTCAGCCGCTTGTCTCCAAGTCAAGTAACTAACTGCTGTAGAGCTCCCTGCCTTTGCTTGTGTGCTGTTGTTCGCACTATCCCCCATGAGTATGCTTCAGGCAGAGCTGTCCGCAATGTACAGAGGTCCAGCTGCCAGATGTCAGTTTCTCATAACTCATTGTAGCATGTCTGACAGGTGTAAGTACTGACGTCTGCCGAGCAACACAGGAGATATGGTAGGTGTTTGTACTGAGTGATGAGGTGGCAAAGGTCAACAGATCTTACATTTTCCAATGACCAATTGTTGACTGCTGCATTATTCAATGAATGAGAAAAAATAGATGTCAAATCAAATTCAAGAAGAACAATTCTGTGAACAGAGCATGCATGTAGGTTGCGTGCTTGGTAGTTCTGTGTTCTAACATAGTTAAGAGCAGCTTTCATTTCATGGAGTGGATCTGTTTAATATGTCTTCATCTTGCACTAACCTAACAGCAACCAGTCAACACTGTAGACACAACATAAATGTATTTCTGCTGTCAACAACACCCACGTGGTGTTCACCAGATATTTGTGGTCTCTCAAATACAGTAATATAGTTCTCATGTCAATGCCAACAAACAATTTCATCTTAAATTTCATCAAAAGTGTAAATACATTTCAATGTGCCCGATTGAATAGATTGATATTAAGCTCTAACTCTCAGCAGGAAACCCGAAGTGAAGGTTTGAGTTTGGTTGTGTGTTCCAGCTCCCAGCACCACCTCCATCCTCACCATCCGCAGCCTCATCTTCATCTTCTTCATCACGGAGGACTCAACGGACATCACCTAGCAAGTAGCCCCATATCAGAGTCTCCCACGGGATCAGTGTCGGAGCAGATCAACTCACTAACTCGATCGTTTGAAGAGCGAGCGTACACATCGAATATCCCTCACTCACATTCATATCACATTTCCCCCTACGAGTCAGAATCAAACATCAGCGGCATGACTCAGAGCTTGTCCACGTCGGCTTTAAAGAAGATGGCCATCAATTCTGATGAGTCCTCACGTGAGTCGTCTGAAGACAAGGATGTTGTTACCGGGGACTGTGATAAAAAGAAGAGGAAGAAGACATCTTTCTTCAAGATGTTGCGGAAAGGAGGAAATAAAACAAAAGCTTCTTAGCAGATACTCACTGCATTTATTGTCCGGGGTACTTTCTTTCGGACTATCTGACTTTCATTCCCAGTGTACCCTGTTTTGTTTGTTTGGTGTTTTTTCTTCCGATTTACATAAAGTGAAAGGTTTTGCAAACATCCAAGCTACCCTGCATTTCTTTACAGACATGTATTCTTTGCATTTACATACACAGACATGTATTTGTTTCTTTAATCTGGACTGGAAGCTGGTTATAGTGAGCTGGACCAAGGTCAACTTGGTTTCTGCCATCTTGGATCTTCAGATGAATTTATTTTATTTTGATGATACTTAAGTCTGCTTGTCAATAGGGGTTCTCCTATTCGCTTGTGTTAATCATCATAATTGCTTCTGCTTGTGTTAAAGATCATATAGTATGACCAGAAATTATTGAGAATTTTAGGAATATGTGTAATTGGATTTCTAGTATAAACAACCTTGACCAGCTATCAAGTGCTCGGTTTCATTCAAGAGAGACAACTCCGTTAATCCTTTTTCATTAGTTTGTGAAGAGTTATCCCCCCTTTTTTTCTCTTGCTAACAGACGACATTTTCAGTGATCCTCAGTATGGATAATTTAGAGAAGAGGAAGTTGATTTTAGAGTATTATAACAAGGACATCAGATCAGCTAAAGCGATTTCAAGTAGAACAGGCATCCCTTTGTCCACTGTTTATCATGTTTTGAAAAATATTGCAAATGGATATGGCATTGAGCACCAGGGAGGCGCAGGTAGTCCCAGAAAATTGACTGTCGGTGACAGGAGGCGGATTGGTATTCTTGTTTCTAAAAACAAACGAAGGAGTTTAGAAAACTTAAGGCTGGATATGATTGATAGAGGAACTGTGTCTGTCTGTAAGGAGACAATTAGAACTGAGCTGCGTGCAATGGGTTGGCAGAAAAGGCGAGGAATTCCATCACCGATCATGAAACCTGAACAAAAGGCACCAAGGTTGAACTGGTGTTTACAGCATAGAAATTTTAACTGGGACAATGTGATTTTCTCAGATGAAAGTTCTGTGTGGCTGTTTCCTAATACATGTACACTGAAATTCTGGACAAAAAAACTGAAAATCCTTTGTATCAGCTCCCAAAGTACAGTCTGAAATTTAACGTGTGGGGTGGCATATCTGTGTTAGGGGCAAAGCCCTTCTGTTTATTTAAAGGGAATATTAACAGTGAGTGGTACACAGATATTCTCGAGGGACATTTACTTCCATCTGCTCATGTGTTCTATGGAATTTTTTGGATTTTCCAGCAGGACAACGACCCAAAACATCGTTCAAAGCATTCACAGACCTGGTTTCGGACCCAAAATATGACATTATTAGATTGGCCAAGCTATAGCCCTGACCTAAATCCAATAGAAAATGTTTGGGGACTTATGAAGGAAAGTGTCAATTAGAAAAATCTGACAAATATTGCTGAAATGAAAGAAGAGGTGGTTCCGATATTGGGACAGCATGGACCACGACTTTCTAACTTCTTTGATCAGTAGTATGCCCCGCCGCATTGAAGCCTGCATTGCTGCCCATGGTGACTTGGCAAAATACTAACTGTTCACCTGTCTTTGAATCTGGAGTTATGTTCTGCTAATATTCACATTTAATATGTGAGTAATGAGTGAATTTTTTTTAAAATTACAATCTTAAATTCTCAATAATTTCTGGTTGTACTGACATACTTCTACTTGTGTTGATGATCATACTTACTTCTTGTCAGTAGGTCTACTCGTATTCATCTCTCTCAACATCTCATCTGTTTAGGACAGATGTGAGAAATTCAAGAATGACACTCCTAGAAGTGTACTTAGAAGTTACATGAAGAACACCAGGTGTTAGTGAGGACTAGTGAAGATGTATGTTTTCTTCATAGCTTCATAGGACACACTGAAAGAGAAAGGTATTTGTTGGTCAGCATTCCTTGTGTGAATATCGATGAACAGCAGGTATGAAGGTGTGCCTGGGTTATTTCAGCCTGAACATTTTGTGATATATTCTATTGATCAGAGTCCCATGAATAATCCAATATCAGCCCAAGTGTTAATGTGTGATATCAGCTTTGTAATGCCTTGTCTTTCAGCCATGAATGTTTTCCTGTCAGTAGTATTCTAGTAATTCATACCAACCTGAAGACACAAGATAATGTGCAGTAATGGAGAACGATGCAGCTTTAATATGGTGTTAAACACCAAGTGATTTCATGTTATCCAAAATGATGGAAATGTGTGTACATGCGTTTCCAAGGCAACAATTATTGGTTCTTGTCTTAAAAACAGCCAAAAGTTTCCTGGATGTCTGTTACTGAGAGAGATGCTATGGGAAAGGTTTCTATACCAAGTGTAGGAACTTGCACAATTGGCATCAACTGTCTACAGCTAAACTTCCCGAGATGAGTGACCAGTTACAGAAAGGGAATATAAATCAGGCTGCATCACTGCAGATGTTGCGTTGTTGTGGTGATGATGTTACTTGTGACATACAATGAGTGATGCACTGCCGATATACCTGTGTCAGACAACAGCAGGAAGCAGAAGCAGCTAGCTGATTGTTTGATTGGGATTCTTGAAGCTGGGGAGTCAGTAACAAAGATTACGACTTAATGGATAACAACTTCTTGTTTATTGCATAGAGCAACATTTCTGTGGATCCTTACACTGTTGTTATCCGTAAAGTTGTAATCTTCATTTATAAACTTCTTCTGTGTGTCATACTGGGGAGAATTCAGCTCAGTGAAAAAAAATTAAGCTTTTTTCCACTACTCATGGAGAAACAGCTCAGAATGATCCATTGTTTCAGGAAACATGTACTATCTAGTTGGTATGAGGGCTGCAGGCACAGTGACAACTATGCTTTATGTGCTTCCACTTATGTGATAGGCATGGTGCCGAGAGTGCCATGTTAATGTTGGTGTCTAGTCCAGGAATCGGTACATGGTAGAGGAATGATACTACATGTTGGTGTCTAGTCCAGGAATCGGTACATGGTAGAGGAATGATACTACATGTTGGTGTCTAGTCCAGGAATCGGTACATGGTAGAGGAATGATACTACATGTTTTAAGTAGCTTGTGTCTCCATCTTCATCCTTACCAACAACTACATGTTGGTGTCTAGTCCAGGAATCGGTACATGGTAGAGGAATGATACTACATGTTGGTCTGCTTGATAACTGTGATATTCTGGTGCTCACAGAATGGCATCCATTAATGGTGTACATTGAAATTTGCCTTGATAATCCTTATGAACAATAGCCTACCCGATAGTGATGACATTCTCCCTAGCAACAGACTCCTTATGAACAATAACCTACCCCATAGTGATGACATTCTCCCTAGCAACAGACTCCCTATGAACAATAGCCTACCCCATAGTGATGACATTCTCCCTAGCAACAGACTCCCTATGAACAATAGCCTACCCCATAGTAATTACATTCTCCCTAGCAACAGTCTCCTTATGAACAATAACCTACCCCATAATGATGACATTCTCCCTAGCAACAGTCTCCTTATGAACAATAACCTACCCCATAGTGATTGCATTCCCCCTAGCAACAGACTCCCTATGAAGAATAGCCTACCCTATAGTGATGACATTCTCCCTAGCAACAGATTCCCTATGAACAATAGCCTACCCCATAGTGATGACATTCTCCCTAGCAACAGTCTCCTTATGAACAATAACCTACCCCATAGTGATGACATTCTCCCTAGCAACAGTCTCCTTATGAACAATAACCTACCCCATAGTGATGACATTCTCCCTGGCAACAGACTCCCTATGAACAATAGCCTACCCAATAGTGATGACATTCTCCCTAGCAACAGACTCCCTATAAACAATAGCCTACCCCGTCGTAATGACATTCTCCCTAGCAACAGATTCCCTATGAACAAAAGCCTACCCCATAGTGATGACATTCTCCCTAGCAACAGGATCCTTACTAGCAACAACCTTGTGCAAGCCTACCATAGCAACGACCTTCTCAAAGCCACAAACGCCAAGCTTGTTCCCCAGCAATCACCTTCTCGTCAGCAACAGTTGTTTGTTCAGCAACGACCCCTGTACCCAATAGGAACTATCAGCTGTTTGTATGTAATCATTTATGGCAGAAATGCTAAGTTGTGCTTAAGAGTGGTATCTGCAATTTGCAAATTTAAGACTCCAGTTGTACGTGTCGGAGGACTTCACTCTGTAGCCTTGTTGTTGTTGTTACACCAGCCTGCTGGTTTCCGCAGTTTTGTTGTTGTACATGTTGTTCCACTGTTGTACATACTGCTCTCGTCGTGTACATACCCATGCTTCACACATGGTGGTGCTGTCCACAATCTTACTGACCAATTAGAGGGGTCTGACAGTGCGTGCAGCGGTTCTCACTTCTGTCTGGCTCGTGGTTGCCAATGGTTACCAAGATGGTCTGGTCCCAGAGAGGACTTGAAGACATCTAAACAAGAAGCTTTATGAACACTATACAGTTCTGTGTGTATCGACATATTAACTTCTGTTGAATGTACATCTATATGTATTTGGTTCTTATTTACTCATTTTCCTTGTAAGAGACAGTTCATGTATATATGTATAAATTCAGTATGGCTGATGATGAAGCTAGATGTGTGCATATCTTTGGCTCCACATGAAACAGTTAAATTATTTGTATGTATAATGTATGTTGAATCAATTATGTATGTTGAATCAATTATGTTTGTTGAATCTTTGTAATTAGGAAGATCACTCCTTTAATCTATTTATAGATATATTTGTCTTTTAGTTTTTAATGTAGACAGCCTGTCATGGGTTAATGCTGTTCACTAGATATGTTTTGGTTAAATACATTGTGAGCACTTCTGAGTTAATGGCTAGCTACTTGAGGTCATGAGAGCAGTTGGATATTTAGCATTGCCACTGAAGAAGTGAAGAGGTTTGTCAGGGCTTTTGGGAAGACATGAATGATAATCTCATCCATATTCCTTGTGACAAAATCTCTTTTACCCGGCCACAAAGCTAACAGCCAACTATTTACAAGTCGATGAAAGTCACATGATCCGCAACAAGTTAACCTCAGCTTAATCAGCATTCTTGTGTCAGCTCTCACCTGGTTTCCAATTTAATCCCTCGTCAGAGTCCGTGCAGGCTTGTTACAGAGTGGGGACCTACTTAACATCAGCTGTCCCCCAAAGGAAGACTTGCGTCCGGACGCTGACCACTCCGAGGATTAAGGATGTGTGGCACCAGTCTAGTCTGGTTTGTCTCACAGACCATAACAGCTTTCTGCATGTTTACTTTTAATTATTTATTGATCTTGTGTGTGCAATAGAGTTTTAGATGTGAGACTGTCCTTCACTTTCCAAAGTTTTAACACTATGTTCCGGGTGTGTAATGTCAGTAGAGGTGTTGTCAGCTAGAACTCTCGTTCCTTCAGCTACATTCCCAAATCATTCAATTCTGAATTCTTTTGGGTGGTTGACTTAAATCACATGAAAATCAATATAGTTTTGCCTAAATGTTGTGATTGAAAGGAAAACATTTGCCCAAAAGATTTCCTTTTTTGAATACGGATAATGAATAAGTTGTCAACACTGAACCTGCAACATGAGTTGTTATTTTACAGTAAACTTGAAACTTGTACCACGTAATCAGGGTAGATTTTCGTCATCATCCAAAATTGTAGCATCCATTTCTTTTTCCACTATATAGATGGGAAGAACCTTGAAATCAAAGAATATGTCACTTGTGACAGAATACACGCCTGCTGTATCTGTGACAATGTGAGCACCAATGATTCAGTATCAGCATCCTGGCTGATGACTTGTACACTTTGGGATTTGTTGACCAGGGTCAGATGTAGTGGAAGCTTTTACTATTTTCTTCAAAGATGTCTACCTTCAATATCGAAGGCACCATGACACAGTGCAAGTATTTGATGTGATGCAGAGCTCCCCTGCTGTTTACATGGGACCTGACTCCATTCAGCTGTTTGATGTTCCATATTTCCATTGCATATTATACTTACAGTTCAATGTTTCATTGAAATGTATTTCTGTATTTTTTTGTTTTAGTTGATAGCAATTCTGTGTTGAAGGCTTCCAAAAGAGTAATACCAGTGAACATGTTCCCCTGTCAAAATTATGCATTCCGCCATTATTCAACGTTTGTAAAATGTATATGATACTACCATACATGGCAGTGCATGTCAATGTTCTACCAACTCTCTGTATGTATTTTCAAACATAAATATTTCAATGTTACAATATCCATTATGTCTCTTCAGATATTTACTTTGGAGCAAATGAAACAAGGAGAAAATATTGAGGCATATCCCATATATGGAGTATCCACTGAAGTTAGTTGAAGTACTAGATTCACTCAACCGGAGTGTCTGTTATGACCAGCATAAACGTAAATTCTCTACTCCAGGGAGCTCTGCTTCTAATTCAGCTGTTGGAGTTCCATGTGCACCAACTGAATCTTCAGTGACGAGTTGTTACTCTTCCAGCCTCCTGTTGTCAACATTCCCCCCAAAAATATATATTATTTGTTTAAAAACAAGGTACACTTGCGCCAAATTCACATGAACTAGCATTCGTTAGATATATTATTGTTTGTGTTAGTGACATACATTTTGGAAGGCCTGTCTTTTCCCTCACAGCAGTGCAGATCATCTCTGATGTTAACTTTCACATTACTTACGACAGGGGTAGATTTTGCATTTGAATTTTGATTTTGTTTCAAGGCTTTCTTTACTTATTGTTGTGAAATTTCAGTGGTTTTACAGAAATATATCATTGTCACTGGTAGTCTCGTCTAATGGTGTTCACGCTGACATGTGATCTGTGCATGTCATTTGCATATCATTTCCTTCATTATCAGCTGAATTATTGATAGCCAAGAGATGTATTTATGTGTTTGTATGTAATTAATGTATGCAAGATCACTACTCGATATGTGTTACTGACTGGATGTACATGAATCACGTGATTACGGGTCACGTGACAGTGGTTCCTTTATGCAAATGGGATACATTAATGAAATATGTTCTGACGTTTCTGCTTTCCACTCTTCTGTAGGTCGATCGACAGTTTCCTTCACTATTGTTTTGACTCTTTACAACGCTTCTTGAGAAAGTAGCATTCTCGTACCTTCAAATCCATGATGACATTGGATAGAAAACTGTCATGACTTATGAAATACTTTATAATTCTAACTATGGTTTTCAGATCATTGTTATGAGAATCAGGTTTTATCTTAAGTGTTTATAATTAGATCTAATGTTGCAGTGTAAAGTGTCTAAAGATTTATCCATATTTTTGTATTCTTTCTCATACTGCTGGTTAGACATGAAGCCGGTATTTTTGTACAGTTGAACTCTGACCTTTCTGTGTACTATACTTGAAACTTGTATATTGAATGGTATATACTTGCAATCTGTTAATAAATTGTTTTTTTCTAAACAATAAGTAATTGTTTTGATCTGCTTCAATTGTGAGTGAGGAAGGACCTCATTATTGCACTAGTCAAATACATTTACAACTTTGAGAACAGCTAAGGACTGTGGGCATGACGCCTCATGCACACCATCTTGTGCCATTGTGGGTACAACGGCTCTTGTCTCGGTTTGAACCCATGAAGGTCCGGATTAGAATGAACATTCAGTAACCCATGCTTGTCGTAAGAGGTGAAAAACAGGATTGGGTGGTCAGGCTCGCTGACTTGGTTGACACATGTCATCAGTACCCAGTTGCGCAGATCGATGCTCATGCTGTTGATCACTGGGTTGTCTGGTCCAGACTCGATTATTTACAGACTGCCGCCATATAGCTGGAATATTGCTGAGTGGGGCGTAACACTAAACTCACTCACTCACTGTCTCGGTTTGGTCTCACATACCCAACCCATACGAAGGACATTGAGCTGAGTTGTCCCCAAAACTAAGGTTCTGTAAATTGAACATCATCCGATAAGCATGGAAACTGCTTCATGATTTTCAGTGGTCATTAATTAATGCTATGTCAAGGGCTAAATGTGTACAGCTTCCATAAGTTCCTTTACGTTGGTGGATGGCTTCCGGATGATCTAGAAGCTTCCCGATCTAGTTACTAGCACACCCCTGACCTCTACTGAGACTCACCAGAAAACAATGTAGAACAATTACAACACCTTTCCCCGATTTATTACACCACCACGTTACATGGGGATTTGTGCACTGTAACCCTTAGCGTCTTGAAAGACAAAAGGTGGACGATCATGACACAGCAGAAACTGCACAAGTATTGGTTCCAGAATGTTGTCTTGGTAGTACACTCCACTGATCCATCCGTGGACGTCGTCATATGAGCGAAATATTCTCAAGCACGACGTAAAACCCAATTTCACCTCACCTCACCTCCATCCGTGGAGGATATTGAGCGACGTTCTGCTGGTTGAGGTGATTTCGCCAGATGTCATCACAGAGCCACCCCCGAATGCGTCTGTTGCCTCACGTTGCCGATCTCACGACCTTCGACAGGTCATTACAGTGGGTCCAACTGGGGCTCCTCTGAAATCATAACACAACACCCTTGGCGATGTTCCCTGTCTCTGCTTTTTCTGAAAGCCAGGTTTGTGGATATTCGGGCACTTGTGAAGAGCAACCTCGTTGTGAGTGCTGGGTATCGCTAATAGCTCTGCTCCCGTATTGACCTGGACTAAAATGTGACCACAGCACTCCACTGTTTGTGGTAAGAGGCGACCAAATTTGCAACCTATTTGTCGTGGGTTGCGCCCCTGTGTCGGTGAGGACGGTATTCTGGTGTTTGAGGGCACTGGTTCCAGGAATAGTGTTCCTTTGGCCAATACACCACTTCGACACTTACTTCACCTAGGCGGTGGTAGAATGGGCCTGGTGCTATCAATCGGCTGGTAACGCCATGCCCTGTGCTACAACTATGCAGCTGGTGGCTCATGGGCCAATCTGGTGGGGAAATTAATTTTTAGTTTGTCCGCTTTTCTCGCTTGTTTTTAGCATTGTCTTCATGATACGCCATGATGGGTGGGGAGCTGAGATGATGAGGTGCGGGGTAGACGCAAGCTCTTTTTTATCAACTTCCCAAACCCTGTATCATTATGGGTGATCTAAATGGCCACAACCCACTCTGAGGTGGTTCAGCTACATTTTGAACAGTGATTTATGCAATTATATTGATGGCTCAAGCATCTATTTACATCCTGGCACAGGAACATATTCAGCTCTTGATATGTCAGTTACAGACTCAAACGGTCTGAATGAAATTGAAAAGTCCACGATGACCTCTGTTGTAGTGATCATTTCCCAACACTACTAAAACCAAGATGACGATGGGGGAAAAGCTAACTGGCCTTTATATGAAACATTGTGTTATTACAGACTTAAACGTGAACTTTTTGTTGACGTTCCTGATGCCATGAAATGTTTTTCTGGGGAACTGAGCAACATAGCTGATGAGTGTATTCCAGCGTCTTCTGCAATTCCACATATACCACAACCATTGTGTAACAAGGATTCCAAACTAGCTGGAAGGGTACAGGAAAAGGCTGAACGTTATTTCTGTCGCCATCCTATGGTCCACAATTTGAACAAATTCAAAATTTTAAGCGCTAAAACACGGAATACTTTTAAAGAAAGTAATCTTGGCGAATTATGTATCAAAGATAAATTCACGTACACTGATTTCAAATGAATGGAACATGATCCAGGTAAGGGCTCTAAATCTAGCTTTCACCATTTGAAAGTTGGGAACCAATTATTATCCCCCGCAACACGTTTTGCGGAGCTGAACTCTAAAACCGTTCTATGTTTCTTCACCAAACTTGGCACATAGATAGATCTGGTGGTGTACTGGTGCCTTTTGGTAGTTTTGGAATTCTGAATAAAATATATTTTTGGCGTTTCCATGGCAACAAGTTCGACTTTAGAATGAAATTAGTGGTAGTGCTCTTTTCCGGAGCAGAACTCTAAAACCGTTCTCTGTTTCTTCACCAAACTTGGCACATAGATAGATCTGGCGGTGTACTGGTGCCTTTTGGTAGTTTTGGAATTCTGAATAAAATATTTTTGGCGTTTCCATGGCAACAAGTTTGACTTAGCCTGAAATTGGTGGTAGTGCTCTTTTCCGGAGCTGAACTCTAAAGCCGTTCACTATTTCTTCACCAAACTTGATACATAGATAGGTCTGGTGGTGTACTGGTTCCTTTTTAGTAGTTTTGGAATTCTGAATAAAATATTTTTGGCATTCCATGGCAACAAGTTTGACATAGACTGAAATTGGTGATAGTGCTCCTTTCTGGAGCAGAACTTTTGAAACCTTTCAATACTCTCCTTCCACTTTTCTATATACACACCTAAATATTTGACATAATCATAACTCATAGACATAATCATGAACAGTATTTTGCCATTGCGGGGGATATTGATGACTTTGTCTTCTTGTTGATAATAAATCAGAAATTGCAAAAATACTTGATGAGACGTTGGCCAAGCATTCGTCCCCATCTAATTATATTCTTCAGTTTCAAAAGTATCAAAAACAGCAAGAAAAGAAATATATCAATTTCACTTGAGATAATGGGGAAGATTACAACGAAATATTTTCGATTCATGAGCTCCATACTGCCCTTGAATAAGCTCACGATACTAGTACGGGAGTTGATAACATACATTATCAACTCCTGAAGCACTTACCAGAGCCATGCTTAGAGACGCTCTTACATATTTTTGATGACATTTGGGCGTCTGGAAAATGTCCTTCTTCATGGGGTGATGCTATAATTGTCCCTGTCCCGATCATACCGATCCTTCAAGTTATCGACCGATTTCACTAACTAGCTGCCTTTGCAAAACCGTGGAACGCATGATCAATAATCGACACGTTTGGTACTTGGAAACCAAATATCTTCTGATATACAGTGTTGTTTCCTTAAAAACAGAAGTACCATTGATCATTTAGTGCGTTTGGAATCTTTTGTCAAAAATGCCATGATTAATGAGCAACATGCAGTGTCGATCGTTTTCGATATAGAAAAATCATAGGACACTATGATAAATACATGGAAACATGGTATTTCAAGAGATTTACAAGATTTTGGATTACTTGGCCGTTTGCCTGAATTTATATCCAACTTTTTGAATGACAGACTATTTTAAGTCCGCGTGGGTTCAACCCTGTCTGACCACTACACTCAGGACCAGGGTGTCCCACAAGGCAGTGTTTTGTCTGTCACACTATTTAGTATAAAAATTGATAGTTTATCAAAGGTTTTAACTCATTTTATCGTTATTTGTGGATGAGTTTAATATTTCCTGTCGTGGCAAAAAATATGCATACTATTGAAAGGCAATTGCAATTGTGTTTGAATAAGATTAATATATGGTGTTTAGAAAACAGATTCAAATTTCCAAAATCACGAACAAATTGTATCCAGTTTGGCCGAAAGTAAATAATACACAAGGACTCAGAATTAGTTTTAGACGGCGCACCTATTAAAAATGTAAGAGGTCAAGTTTCTGGGTCTGATTTTCGATCAAGATTTCACCTTTCAGACACATATAAAATGTTTGAAAAATAAGATATATTGGCACAAGACATATTGAAAGTTGAAATGGGGAGCAGAAGACCCTCTTCCCACTGTACAGGGCACTGATCCGTTCGAAAAGCTCCATTATGTCCCTATGGTGGAGCCTGCAAAATCAACCTTAACCTTCTTGATTCTGCCCACCATCAAGTTCTTTGACTTTGTCTTCGATCTTTCAGAAGCTCTCGTATTGACGGTCTACATTGAGGCCGATGAGCCATCTTTAAAATATAGCCGTATAAAATTATCTTTACAATATAATATTATCACAAACCTTTATTCTAATGAATCCAAAATTGCATACAAATGTGTTCTTAATCCTCTTTTATCTGGATCTGTATAATAAAAAACTCTCACTTGTTTCACCTCTTGGGGTAAGAATCAAATCATTCATTTCTGCTGCTAACATTGAGCTGGAAAATATATCTCTTTTCCACCTGCTTTCTTTTCCTCTTTGGCAGTTAGTAAGAACACAGGTCGACCTTACATTGACCATATTAACAAAAGTCAGAAACCAGTTAATTACAATACAGACAGGAATTTAATCAATTAAGAAATAAGTATAATAGATACAGATCTTTATTTACAGATGGATCCAAGGATGGTGGCGCAGTTGCTTGTGCCACTGTCAATCAATCAAGAACAATATCTTCGAATTCTTGACTGCCCGCTAACATCTTAATTTTCACAGCCGAGGGACTCGCCATATTAACTTGTACAGCTCTTAAATATAGAAAGAAACGTAACAAGTATAAACAATATATCAGATTTTCAGACTCGCTTTCCTGCCTTCAGGCTACTAAAAACATGTCTTCTAAACATCCACTTTTAATTGAAATTATTGAATTATTCAATGTTCTTGTTACTGGCCAGTACGACATCGTCTTTCGTTGGTTACCCAGCCATGTAAAAGCAGCACTCAACAAATCTGTGACACCACTTTTTATCCAATACAGTGATTATAAACTTGTCATAAGATGTTACATACGTGGTATAAAACAAACGAAGTGGTATGATTACACAATGCCATTTAGAAAGTGGTCAAATGTAACATGTGTTATATTTTGGGATTACACTTTCTTAGTAAAGTACAAATTCTAGTACTTTTTGAGTTGAGCCCCTTCCGGGATTCGAACTCACACCCTTGTTTAAGCAGAGACTTTCGGATAATCTTAAACAATGTTGGTTCGCTTCAATTCAAAATTCTAATAAATGTTCTTATTACTCCCAGTTTAAGACATTTTTAAATGTGGAAAGGTATTTATATTCTGATATTCCTTTACATCTCAGATCTGCACTCTCTAAATTTAGATGTGGTAATTTTAATTTAGCTGTTGAAACTGGAAGATACAATAAAGTTAATTACAATGAGAGATTATGTTTATTTTTTAAATTGGATGACAAAAATGTTATTGAAGATGTACTCCGTAAGTGTGAACGTTCTTCTGATTTAAGGTTAAGATATATTCAGAAATATTTGACTGATTTTGATCCAAATGCCAATTTTATTAACATTATGAAAACACATAATGACTGTATCATAAAAGATGTCAGGATTTTTCTGTATCATGTACTTCAGCGCATTAGAACTGTTCTCTTACACAGCATGTGCACTAAAACTACGTTGGTGTGTGCTGGCGCGTGGTCCTGTGCTTAAAGCTCAGGTCACAAATCGGTGAATTTAAGCAGCGTCGAGCTCGGAGAGTCCTTGGATGGGTGACCGTTTTTGGCAGCTTGACTCCTGAGAGTTTCTAGGACTTGAGTCCTGCCCCACAACGAAGCACATGTGACACATGTGGTCTCACCTTAGGCAAGTGAGTTTGTTCAAAATTGTCTCTGTTCACCCAGCAGGAAAATGGGTACCCGGTGGAAAAAAGTCATATGACTATAACCTTCTAGCGCCTAACAGGCAGCTTGGGTTATCCGGGGTAATAATGGCCTTGATTGTTAGCGCTATGAGCATACCTAGTGTGGAGTTTGGCGCGATATAAATGGACACATTATTGTTATTATTATCTATATCATATGCAAAAATCAGCTTTCAGTTGAACTTGTGCAGCAAAAGAGCATGCACTATCTGGCTATAAAATCCAGATTACACTCGGAAATCGACATTCGTTTTGAAGAAAGTTCAAGGTCAGATCACTACGCCATGTCTTGACGCTGCGACACGGAACATCGCCATTGAAAGAATGCACGCTAGAGATTATCAATCTTCTGTTGCCAGGCGTCTGAATGTTAGTCTGAGCACAATATCACGGATTGCAGTTCGTTACAACCAAACAGGTATAACAAATGACCGTCCCCGTACAGGCAGACATCGAGTCACCACTGCAGCCCAAGATCAGTACATCCCGGTACTACAATTGCGTGATCGTACTGCCACGGGTGAGGGCACAGCTGCCAGGGTGCCTGGACATCGGAGGATATCCGGTCAAACTGTACGGAACAGGTTTCGAGAGATTGGACTGAGAGCCAGGAGATCCGAGGTCGCGACCGTGCTACGTCGTCACCATCGCGCTCAGCGTCTCCGTTAACTAAAATTATCCACTTGGCTGTTTGTATAGACATTACCTTCTTCTAAACTGATGTATAAAATCATGTACTAAACTCTATTTGTGGACGAGTTATACATGTTTCAAACTACATTTTCGCAACAGATTTCTGGGTTATGCGTTTCTTTTTTGAATAGTATAATTTCTTGGTGTTTTATTAATTTGTGTAGAAAATTACCAAAAATGTTTATAGTGGAAGTGGTATTTCCTGCCGATAGCACGTGTGTTGCTGCAGGGAGCCGTGGACCTGGTGTACATGTAAAATGTCAAATTACCTTAGAATATGATCCGATCAAAGGTATGTCAAGAAAATGTAACGACATATGACACACTGAAAGTGATGACAAAGCTTTATGGATGATCAACTTCTTTATTTTCACTATGATCCTCCATAAAGTATCATGTATTGTCATCTCTATACCACCAACTTCTTGAATCCCACTCAAACAAATATATAAAGTGAACTATGTCACTAGGTGAGTGCTTTGTCTTAGCTGGGTTTTGGTGGCCAAGACACGACACCCGTGAAACACATTCACTAAGATCTAGGCTTAATCTGGATTAACCCGGTAGTCAGCAGTATATTTTAGCTGTATCACCACGCTCTGTATTCACCCAAGGCAGTGATGGACGTTGACATGATTTCAACCAAGTTAGTGATGGACGTTGACATGCTTTCAACCAAGTCAGTGATGGACGTTGACATGTTTTCATCCAAGTCAGTGGTGGACGTTGACATGTTTTCAACCAAGTCAGTGATGGACGTTCACATGCTTTCAACCAAGTCAGTGATGGACGTTCACATGCTTTCATCCAAGTCAGTGGTGGACGTTGACATGCTTTCAACCAAGTCAGTGATGGACGTTGACATGTTTTCATCCAAGTCAGTGGTGGACGTTGACATGTTTTCATGCAAATTGATATCACTGAAAGAAAAACACTACTCAATCATAACTCACTGCTTCCCTAGGAAACACCTTCCTTTAAACTAACATTTCGCTTTATTGTAGTACCGACACTGAAGTAATCCACAAGGGGAATGTTACACGAGGTCACGTGACTAATACGTGAGACTATACGCAGGAAGAAAGGCTCCAACAAGTGGGTTCAAATGCATTAATTTATTAGTATTACATTGGAGATGCAATGTTTCATGTACGTAGTTGTCACATTATACTTATATCCAGATGAGTACAGTGTAGATAAACGCTGTTTTGTTACACCACAGGCAGTTCCACTTCGCAGATGTACGGGTGTGCCTCGTCGCAGTCCACGTCTCCCCATTCATAGTTGGCGTTAGCGTATTGAAGCAGCAGGCAGTTCTGGTCGTTGGCAACGTTGTTGGGCTGTCCCTGGTGCCAGTCGCTGTACGCACTCTGGTATGGAAGGCCGGTGTCTGTCCAATCAAACATGCCCTCACTCCTTTCGTCATTTCCGCCTGTGTACCAGCCATAGCCGCCAGCGGCATTCAACACTAAGGAAAACAGAGAATGTTGGCGAAACACTACATCACCATACAAATAACACGTGATGCCATGATAGACATTAGGTAGAATATATTATACTGTGTCCTGGTAGGTAACTTCCACACCAGAATAGTGTGCTATACCCTGTCACTACCATTCTCTCTCTGTCACTACCTTTCTCTCTCTGTCACTACAATTCTCTCTCAGTCACTACCATTCTCTCTGTCACTACCACTCTCAGTCAGTACCATTCTCTCTCTGTCACCACCATTCTCTCTCTCAGTCACTACACTCTCTATCTGTCACTACCATTCTCTCTGTCACTGCCATTCTCTCTCTGTCATTCTCTCTCTCTCTAGTCACTACCATTCTCTCTCTGTCACTACCATTCTCTCTCTCTATCACTACCATTCTCTCTCTGTCACTACCATTTCTCTCTCTGTCACTCACCATTCTCTCTCTGTCACTACCATTCTCTCTCTCTCTCTGTCTCTACCTTCTCTCAGTCACTCTCTCTCTGTCACTACCATTCTCTCTCAGTCCTACTGTTCTCTCTCAGTCACTACCATCTCTCTCTCTGTCACTACCATTCTCTCTCAGTCACTACCATTCTCTCTCAGTCACTACCATTCTCTCTCAGTCACTACCATTCTCTCTCTGTCACTACCATTCTCTCTCTGTCACTACCATTCTCTCTCTCTGTCACTACCATTCTCTCTGTCACTACCATTCTCTCTCTGTCACTACCATTCTCTCTCAGTCACTACCATTCTCTCTCTGTCACTACCATTCTCTCTCTGTCACTACCATTCTCTCTCTCTGTCACTACCATTCTCTCTCAGTCTTCTGATTCTCTCTCAGTCACTACCATTCTCTCTCTGTCACTACCATTCTCTCTCTGTCACTACCATTCTCTCTCTGTCACTACCATTCTCTCTCTCTGTCACTACCATTCTCTCCCTCAGTCACTACCATTCTCTCTCAGTCACTACAATTCTCTCCCAGTCACTACCATTCTCTCTCAGTCACTACCATTCTCTCTCTGTCACTACCATTCTCTCTCTGTCACTACCATTCTCTCTCAGTCACTACCATTCTCTCTCTCTCTCTCTGTCACTACCATTCTCTCTCTCAGTCACTACCATTCTCTCTCTGTCACTACCATTCTCTCTCAGTCACTACCATTCTCTCTCTCTCTGTCACTACCATTCTCTCTCAGTCACTACCATTCTCTCTCAGTCACTACCATTCTCTCTCAGTCACTACCATTCTCTCTCTCTGTCACTACCATTCTCTCTCAGTCACTACCATTCTCTCTCTCTGTCACTACCATTCTCTCTCAGTCACTACCATTCTCTCTCTGCCACTACCATTTTCTCTCTCACTACAATTCTCGATCCGTCACTACCATTCTCCCATTGCCGCTACCATTCTCTCTTAGTCAATACCACTTTTACTACCATTCTCTCTATGGCACTACCATTCCTTATCTGCCACTACCATTCTCTCCTGCCACTACCATTCTCTCTTTCCGGCACTACCATTATCTCTCTGTCACTACAATTCTCTCTCTCTGTCACTACAGTTCTCTCTCTCTCTATCATTATCTTTCTCTGTCACTACCATTCTCTCTCTCTGTCACTACCCTTCTCTCTCTCTCTGTCAGTACCATTCTCTCTTTCTCTGTCACTACCATTTCGCTGTCACTACCATACAAATAACTTGCAAATACCATTTTTCTTATCAAACAAGGAATTGGAATTCAGTGTAACCATAGTGGTTTGTGGTGTCTCTTTTCACTTTCACACGAGAAAATTCTGATCGGCCGAAAAGTAGGTCATTGTCTGAATAGGTTAATGAGACTCGTGTTTCGGTTTGTCTCTTTCTCTGTGACTACCATTTTCTCTGTCACTACCATTCTCTCTCTGTCACTACCATCCTCTCTTTCGGTCACTACCATTCTCTCTCTTTCACTACCATCCTCTCTCTGCCACTGCCATTCTCTCTGTCACTACCATTCTCTCGTTTTGTCAATACAATTCTTTCTCTGTCACTAGCATTCTCTCTCTGCCACTACCATTCTCTCTCTGTCACTTCAATTCTCTGTCACTACCATTTCTCTATACTACCATTCTCTCTTTCTGTCACTACAATTTTCTCTCTCTTTGTGTCGCTACAATTCTCTCTGCATCACTACCATTTTCTCTATACTACCATTCTCTCTTTCTGTCACTATAATTACATTAAGTGTGAACGTACCAGCACTTTGCTTGATAGTGCTGACAAGGAAGTCCTGCTCTTCTTTAGATGTGATCGTCACCAGGTGCGAGGTGGCGCCCTCTTGGCGGCAGGCCTCGGCGCTCTGGTACCAGGCTGTAGGAGTCGTGTGGAACGTGTAGCAGGAGGAGGAGTTACTTCCCTTGCGTGTTATGGCTCCAGGTGGGCAGCTTGGGATATCTTGACAAGAGAAGGAAAGAAACCAGGCGTTAGTCTGCAAGATCGATAAATGGAACACCAGTCTATCTGGGATATCTTGATAAGAGAGGGAAAGAAACCAGGCATTAGTCTGCAAGATCGGTAGATGGAACACCAGTCTATCTGGGATATCTTGACAAGAGGGGGAAAGAAACCAGGCGTTAGTCTGCAAGATCTGTAAATGGAACACCGGTCTATCTAGGATATCTTGACAAGAGAGGGAAAGATACCAGGCGTTAGTCTGCAAGATCGGTAAATGGAACACCAGTCTATCTAGGATATCTTGACAAGAGAGGGAAAGATACCAGGCGTTAGTCTGCAAGATCGGTAAATGGAACACCAGTCTATCTGGGATATCTTGATAAGAGAGGGAAAAGAAACCAGGCGTTAGTCTGCACAATCGATAGATGGAACACCAGTCTATCTGGGATATCTTGACAAGAGAGGGAAAGGCGTTAGTCTGCAAGATCGATAAATGGAACACCAGTCTATCTGGGATATCTTGACAAGAGAGGGAAAGAAACCAGGCATTAGTCTGCAAGATCGGTAGATGGAACACCAGTCTATCTGGGATATCTTGACAAGAGAGGGAAAGAAATCAGGCGTTATTCTGCTTAGACCGGTGCTTGAAACACCCATCTAACTACAATCTCATGTTTGCTTCAGTTGTATGTCCAAATCCCTCACCGCAGAAAGGCCGGTTGTAAAAACAAGGCGATTAAAGTGTTCGCTAGTTTCCGTAAAGTGTTTTATTCATGTCAAAACACATTTTGAGATATCACGAATTATTCTTTTTAACACGAAATTACCATTACTTTGGAAATCGCGAATAAATTACAGATATCTTCATTTATTTACTTATATTGTAAGAACCGTTTTTGTTACACTTAAACATAAAACTGATACATATGTAACTTTAGTGTGAACACAGAAAACATATGACAGGGTTCATACGGGAACGCCACTTGCAGCACACTCGGGACGGTGAATGTAGGGGGTATCAGTGACAGGGGATGGTAAATGTAGAGTGTGTCAGTGACTCGGGACGGTGAATGTAGGGGGTATCAGTGACTGGGGACGGTGAACTGGGGACGGTAAATGAAGAGTGTGTCAGTGACTGGGGACGGTAGATGAAGAGTGTGTCAGTGACTGGGGACGGTAGATGAAGAGTGTGTCAGTGACTTGGGACGGTAGATGAAGAGTGTGTCAGCGACTGGGGACGGTAGATGAAGAGAGCGTCAGTGAGTGGGGACGGTGAATGTAGAGTGTGTCAGTGACTGGGGACGGTGAATGTAAAGGGTATCAGTGACTGAGGACGGTGAATGTAAAGGGTATCAGTGACTGGGGACGGTGAATGTAGAGTGTGTCAGTGACTGGGGACGGTGAATGTAAAGGGTGTCAGTGACTGGGGACGGTGAATGTAGGGGGTATCAGTGACTGGGAACGGTGAATGTAGAGTGTGTCAGTGACTGGAGACGGTGAATGTAGGGGGTATCAGTGATTGGGGATGGTGAATGTAGAGTGTGTCAGTGACTGGGGACGGTGAATGTAGGGGGTATCAATGACTGGGAACGGTGAATGTAGAGGGTGTCAGTGACTGGAGACGGTGAATGTAGGGGGTATCAGTGACTGGGGACGGTGAATGTAGGGGGTATCAGTGACTGGGAACGGTGAATGTAGAGTGTGTCAGTGACTGGAGACGGTGAATGTAGGGGATATCAGTGATTGGGGATGGTGAATGTAGAGTGTGTCAGTGACTGGGGACGGTGAATGTAAAGGGTATCAGTGACTGAGGACGGTGAATGTAGAGTGTGTCAGTGACTGGGGACGGTGAATGTAGGGGTGTCAGTGACTGGGGACGGTGAATGTAGAAGGGTGTCAGTGACTGGGGACGGTGAATGTAGGGAGTATCAGTGACTGGGAACGGTGAATGTAGAGTGTGTCAGTGACTGGAGACGGTGAATGTAGAAGTGACTGGGGACGGTGAATGTAAAGGGGGTCAGTGACTGGGGACGGTGAATGTAGGGGGTATCAGTGACTGGGGAACGGTGAATGTAGAGTGTGTCAGTGACTGGAGGACGGTGAATGTAGGGGTATCAGTGACTGGGGATGGTGAATGTAGAGAATGTGTCAGTGACTGGGGACGGTGAATGTAGGGGTATCAGTGACTGGGAACGGTGAATGTAGAGTGTGACAGTGACTGGAGGACAGTGGTAGGTAGTATAGGGGTATCAGTGACTGGGGACGGTGAATGTAGGGGTATCAGTGACTGGGAACGGTGAATGTAGAGTGTGTCAGTGACTGGGACGGTGAATGTAGGGGGTATCAGTGATTGGGGATGGTGAATGTAGAGTGTGTCAGTGACTGGGGACGGTGAATGTAGGGGGTATCAGTGACTGGGAACGGTGAATGTAGAGTGTGTCAGTGACTGGAGACGGTGAATGTAGGGGGTATCAGTGATTGGGGATGGTGAATGTAGAGTGTGTCAGTGACTGGGGACGGTGAATGTAGGGGGTATCAGTGAAAGGGAACGGTGAATGGAGAGTATGTCAGTGACTGGGGACGGTGAATGGAGAGTGTGTCAGTGACTGGGGACAGTGACTGTAGAGCATGTGTCAGCGACTGGGGATGGTGAATGTAGCGTGTTTCAGTGACTGGGGTTGTGAATGTAGAGTGTGACCTGTGGACAGTGAGTATAGCGTGTTTCAGTGACGGGGGTAGTGAATGTAGAGCATGACCTGTGGACAGTGGACAGTGAGTATGAGCGTGTTTCAGTGACAGTATAAGGGTAATGAATGTAGTGAGTTACCTGTGGACAGTGAGTGAATGCGAGTGTGTCAGTGACTGGGGACGGTGAATGTAGAGGTATCAGTGACCTGGGACGGTGAATATAAAGGGTTTCAGTGACTGGGGACGGTGTAATGTGAGGGGGTATCAGTGAAAGGGGACGGTGAATGGACGTCAGTGACTGGGGATGAATGCGAGTTTCAGTGACTGGGGACGGTGAATGTAGAGCGTGCCATGACCTGTGGACGGTGAATGTATAGCGTATCAGTGACTGGGGTAGTGAATGTAGAGTGTGTCATGACCTGGGGACGGTGAATATATAGCGTGTTTCAGCGACTGGGGATGGTGAATGTAGGGGCATGACCTGTGGACAGTGAATATAAAGGTGTTTCAGTGACTGGGGACGGTGAATGTAGGGGGTATCATGACCTGTGGACAGTGAGTATAGCGTGTTTCAGTGACTGGGATTGTGAATGTAGAGTGTGGACAGTGACCTGTGGACGAGTGAGTATAGACGTGTTTCAGTGAGGGTAGTGAATGTGAATGACCTGTGGACAGTGAGTATAGCGTGTTTCAGTGACGGGGTAGTGAATGTAGAGGCATGACCTGTGGACAGTGAGTATAGCGTGTTTCAGTGACGGGGTAGTGAATGTAGTAGAGCATGACCTGTGGACAGTGAGTATAGCGTGTTTCAGTGACGGGGGTAGTGAATGTAGAGGCATGACCTGTGGACAGTGAGTATAGCGTGTTTCAGTGACGGGGTAGTGAATGTAGTGCATGACCTGTGGACAGTGAGTATAGCGTGTTTCAGTGACGGGGGTAGTGAATGTAGAGCATGACCTGTGGACAGTGAGTATAGCGTGTTTCAGTGACGGGGTAGTGAATGTAGAGCATGACCTGTGGACAGTGAGTATAGCGTGTTTCAGTGACGGGGGTAATGAATGTAGTGAGTTGACCTGTGGACAGTGAGTATAGCGTGTTTCAGTGACGGGGTAGTGAATGTAGTGATGACCTGTGGACAGTGAGTATAGCGTGTTTCAGTGACGGGGTAGTGAATGTAGAGCATGACCTGTGGACAGTGAGTATAGCGTGTTTCAGTGACGGGGTAGTGAATGTAGTGAGTGACCTGTGGACAGTGAATATAGCGTGTTTCAGTGACGGGGGTGCGATATCCTTTCGTTTTCGTCCCGGTAGTATGGTGCGAAACCTTAGGCGGACCTTGTAGGCATCTGTGACTGCAGCCAACACCACCTGGAACATCACAGAAAACAAACAGCAACTGCACAAACTGTCGGAAACATGAAACACACGTGTTCAGGGTGACGTCCGCATCTTGTTGCAGTGCTTGGTAACATCACCCACCGTTTTGCATGCAGTGCAAGGTAACGTCAGTACGCTGTTGCAGTGCAAGGTAACGTCAGTACGCTGTTACAGTGCAAAGGTAACGTCAGTACGCTGTCGCAGTGCAAGGTTACGTCAGGACCCTGTGTCAGTGCAAGGTAACGTCAGTACGTTGTTGCAGTGCAAGGTAACGTCAGTACGCTGTTGCAGTGGAAGGTAACGTCAGTACGCTGTTGCAGTGGAAGGTAACGTCAGTACGCTGTTGCAGTGCAAGGTAACGTCAGTACGTTGTTGTATTGCAGGTAACGTCAGTACGCTGTTGCAGTGCAAGGCAACGTCAGTACGCTGTTACTTTTTATGGGAACGTCAGCACCGTGTATAATTTGCAATCTTCAGTACGTTTCAACTTCGTAAGTATCGAGTTGGCAACGTCAATAACCTATTTTTGAGCAAGGACGATACAGCGTAGTCCATTAGAAAAAAACGTCAGTTCCTTGTCTGCTATGCAATGATATCTTGTTCATTAGTAAGGGAACGTCAATACCTTGTTTCTTAAAAAGGAAACGTCAATACCTTGTTCCTTAGAAAGGGAACGTCAATACCTTGTTCCTTAGAAAGGGAACGTCAGTACCTTGTTCCTTAAAAGGGAACGTTAATACCTTGTTGTTCTTAGAAAGGAACGTCAGTACCTTGTTCCTTAGAAAGGGAACGTTAATACCTTGTTCCTTAGAAAGGGAACGTCAGTACCTTGTTCCTTAGAAAGGGAACGTCAATACCTTGTTCCTTAGAAAGGGAACGTCAATACCTTGTTCCTTAGAAAGGGAATGTCAGTACCTTGTTCCTTAGAAAGGGAACGTCAATACCTTGTTCCTCAGAAACGGAACGCGAGTGCTTTGTTCCTTAGAAAGGGAACGTCAATTTCTTGTTCCATAGAAAGGGAATGTCAATACCTTGTTCCTTAAAAAGGGAACGTTAATACCTTGTTCCTTAGAAAGGGAACGTCAATACACTGTTCCTCAAAAAGGGAACGTTAATACCTTGTTCCTTAGAAAGGGAACGTCAATACCTTGTTCCTTAAAAAGGGAATGTCAGTATCTTGTTCCTTAGAAAGGGAACGTCAATACCTTCATCTTTATAAAGGGAACGTGATTACCTTCTTCCTTAGAAAGGGAACGTTATAACCTTCTTCCTTAGAAAGGGAACGTCAATACCTTGTTCCTTAGAAAGGGAACGTCAGTACCTTCTTCCTTAGAAAGGAAATGTCAGTACCTTGTTCCTTAAAAAGGGAACGTTAATACCTTGTTCCTTAGAAAGGGAACATCATTACCTTGTTCCTTAAAAAGGGAACGTTAATACCTTGTTCCTTAGAAAGGGAATGTCAGTACCTTGTTCCTTAGAAAGGGAACGTCAATACCTTGTTCCTTAGAAAGGGAACGTCAATACCTTGTTAATTAGAAATGGAATGGGAGTAACTTGTTGCTGTGAGAGGGCATGGCCGTGATTACAAGTAGAACCTTCGTTTCCTTGTTGGCAACATACACAATACACCAACATTCACAATACAACAACATTCACAATACACCAACATTCACAATACAACAACATTCACAATACAACAACATTCACAATACAACAACATTCACAATGCATCAACATTCACAATACATCGACGTTCACAATACAACAACATTCACAATACAACAACATTCACAATGCATCAACATTCACAATACATCGACGTTCACAATACGACATTCACAATACATAAACATTCACATTCACAATACAACAACATTCACAATCAACCAACATTCATCGTAGACCAACATTCACAAAACACCAACATTCACAATACAACAACATTCACAAAGCATCAACATTCACAATACATCGACGTTCACAATACGACATTCACAATACATCAACATTCACATTCACAATACACCAACATTCACAATAAACCAACATTCACCGTAGACCAACATTTACTATACATCAACATTCACAATACAACAACAATCACAATGCATCAACATTCACAATACATCGACGTTCACTATACGACATTCACAATACATCAACATTCACATTCACAATACAACAACATTCACAATACAGCAACGTTCACAATACAACAACATTCACAGTACACCAACATTCACAATGCATCAACATTCACAATACAACAACAATCACAATACACCAACATTCATCGTAGACCAACATTCACAAAACACCAACATTCACAATACAACAACATTCACAAAGCATCAACATTCACAATACATCGACGTTCACGATATATCGACGTTCACAATACGACATTCACCATACATCAACATTCACATTCACAATACACCAACATTCACAATAAACCAACATTCGCCGTACACCAACATTTGCTATACATCAACATTCACAATACACCAACATTCGCAATACAACAAAATTCACAATGCATCAACATTAACAATACAACAACATTCACTATACAACAACATTCACATACAACTCCATTCACAATACATCAACATTAACAATACAACAACATTCACAATACATCAACATTCACATTCACAATACACCAACATTCACAACAAACCAACATTCACCGTACACCAACATTTACTACACATCAACATTCACAATACACAACATTCACTATACAACAACATTCACAATACAAATAAAATTCACAATACATCAACATTAACAATACAACTACATTCACTATACAACACCATTCACAATACAACAACATTCACAATACATCAATATTAACAATACAACAACATTCTCACAATACATTAACATTCACATTCACAATACACCAACATTCACAATAAACCAACATTCACTATACAACAACATTCACTATACATTAACATTCACAATAAATCAACATTCACAATACACCAACATTCACTATACAACAACATTCACAATACAACAAAATTCACAATACACCAACATTCACAGTACACTAACATTCACAATACAACCAACATTCACAATACAACAACATTCACAATACACCAACATTCACAGTACACCAACATTCACAATACACCAACATTCACAGTACACTAACATTCACAATACAACAGCATTTACTCTTTAAATAAGACAACCCCATCAACACGCCAGAAACTCCAAATCACCTTGAACGGTTGACTTGTAAATTCAGAGTCCACGTTAATCTCAGCAAGATGCCATGTTTGCCCATGGTTTCCATAGCTTCGCCAAATGGGATAACCAAGACCTGAGCCAACCTGTAGCAAGCATAAAAAGAACACTTGCTCAAAAGTTTGAAAACATTGAAATTAATAGACGCTAACAGTTGTGCCATATCATGTGAAGAATGCACGACAATATTGCTGGCAGTGGTGTTTTAATTAGAAGAAATGGCACTTGACGCGTTGCTCTGTGGGAGTGTTGTGAAACATTGTTTTTAACTGCTATTCGTTGTGCCTGTAGATTCTGTAGGGAACACTGGTTGGCTATATTTTAGACTTGCGCTCTTAGTGAGGAGTTGTCTTGCATCTTATTCTGTGTATGTAAGGGAGCTAGCTGTGCCTCTCATCACACATTCATCTCAAGTTTCCAAAAGACCATCACTCTGTGTGATCATCATGGTACTCAGCCTTGCCCTATAGTTACGAGTTGGATTACAGTTGTTAAGGTGAATATTACCTTCAATGTACTTATTGCTATAATCTCTTAACCACCACCTAACAACGTTCATTACGGGTAGACATATTCGGAAAACCAATGTGTCATCATATGGTTTTAATAGACCATTTGAAAAAGTTCAGACCAGAAAACATCTGGAATCTGTGACATACCAGCTGTACTAACCTTTGTGCAGACCACGAGAGATCTGGCATCTGTCACATGTTGTACCAACCTTGGTGTACACCAGGAGAGATCTGGCTTCTGCACCGTCAACGTTGTACCAACCTTGGCGTACACCAGGAGAGATCTGGCTACTGCACCGTCAACGTTGTACCAACCTTGGCGTACACAAGGAGATCTGGCTTCTGCACCGTCAACGTTGTACCAACCTTGGCGTACACCAGGAGAGATCTGGCTACTGCACCGTCAACGTTGTACCAACCTTGGCGTACACCAGGAGAGATCTGGCATCTGCACCGTCCATGTTGTACCTACCTTGGCGTACACCAGGAGAGATCTGGCATCTGCACCGTCCACGTTGTACCAACCTTGGCGTACACCAGGAGAGATCTGGCATCTGCACCGTCCAACGTTGTACCAACCTTGGCGTACACCAGGAGAGATCTGGCTTCTGCACCGTCAACGTTGTACCAACCTTGGCGTACACCAGGAGAGATCTGGCTACTGCACCGTCCATGTTGTACCTACCTTGGCGTACACCAGGAGAGATCTGGCATCTGCACCGTCCATGTTGTACCTACCTTGGCGTACACCAGAGAGATCTGGCTTCAACCGTCCATGTTGTACCAACCTTGGCGTACACCAGGAGAGATCTGGCATCTGCACCGTCCATGTTGTACCAACCTTGGCGTACACCAGGAGAGATCTGGCTTCTGCACCGTCAACGTTGTACCAACCTTGGCGTACACCAGGAGGGATCTGGCATCTGTCACATGTTGTACCAAGCTTGGCGTACACCAGAAGGGATCTGGCATCTGTCACATGTTGTACCAACCTTGGCGTACATCAGGAGAGATCTGGCTACTGCACCGTCAACGTTGTACCTACCATGGCGTACACCAGGAGAGATCTGACATCTGCACCGTCCATGTTGTACCTACCATGGCGTACACCAGGAGAGATCTGGCATCTGCACCGTCCATGTTGTACCAACCTTGGCGTACACCAGGAGAGATCTGGCATCTGCACCGTCCACGTTGTACCTAACCATGGCGTACACCAGGAGAGATCTGGCATCTGCACCGTCAACGTTGTACCCACCTTTGGCGTACACACCAGGAGAGATCTGGCATCTGCACCGTCCATGTTGTACCAACCTTGGCGTACACCAGGAGAGATCTGGCATCTGCACCGTCCATGTTGTACCGACCTTGGCGTACACCAGGAGAGATCTGGCTTCTGCACCGACAACGTTGTACCAACCTTGGCGTACACCAGGAGAGATCTGGCTACTGCACCGTCCATGTTGTACCTACCTTGGCGTACACCAGGAGAGATCTGGCATCTGCACCGTCCATGTTGTACCTACCTTGGCGTACACCAGGAGAGATCTGGCTTCTGCACCGTCCATGTTGTACCTACCTTGGCGTACACCAGGAGAGATCTGGCATCTGCACCGTCCATGTTGTACCAACCTTGGCGTACACCAGGAGAGATCTGGCATCTGCACCGTCCATGTTGTACCAACCTTGGCGTACACCAGGAGAGATCTGGCATCTGCACCGTCCACGTTGTACCCCACCCTTGGCGTACATCAGGAGAGATCTGGCATCTGCAATCGTCCATGTTGTACCTACCTTGGCGTACACAACCAGGAGAGATCTGGCATCTGCACCGTCCATGTTGTACCTACCTTGGCGTACACCAGGAGAGATCTGGCTTCTGCACCGTCAACGTTGTACCAACCTTGGCGTACACCAGGAGGGATCTGGCATCTGTCACATGTTGTACCAACCTTGGCGTACATCAGGAGAGATCTGGCTTCTGCACCGTCAACGTTGTACCAACCTTGGCGTACACCAGGAGAGATCTGGCATCACCGTCACATGTTGTACCAACCTTGGCGTACACCAGGAGATCTGGCATCACTGTCGTCATGTTGTACCAGCCTTGGCGTACATCAGGAGAGAGATCTGGCTACTGCACCGGCAACGTTGTACCTACCATGGCGTACACCAGGAGAGATCTGGCATCTGCACCGTCCATGTTGTACCAACCTTGGCGTACACCAGGAGAGATCTGGCTTCTGCACCGTCCATGTTGTACCAACCTTGGCGTACACCAGGAGAGATCTGGCATCTGCACCGAGCATGTTGTACCAACCTTGGCGTACACCAGGAGAGATCTGGCATCTGCAATCATCCATGTTGTACCAACCTTGGCGTACACCAGGAGAGATCTGGCATCTGCACCGTCAACGTTGTACCAACCTTGGCGTACACCAGGAGAGATCTGGCATCTGCACCGTCCATGTTGTACCAACCTTGGCGGCAACGTTGTACACCAGGAGAGATCTGCACCGTATGTTGTGCACCGTCCATGTTGTACCTACCTTGGCGTACACCAGGAGAGATCTGGCTTCTGCACCGTCAACGTTGTACCAACCTTGGCGTACACCAGGAGAGATCTGGCATCTGCACCGTCCATGTTGTACCAACCTTGGCGTACACCAGGAGAGATCTGGCTTTCTGCACCGTCAACGTTGTACCTAACTCCTTGGCGTACACCAGGAGATCTGGATCTGCACCGTCAACGTTGTACCAACCTTGGCGTACACCAGAAGAGATCTGGCTACTGTCACCGTCAACGTTGTACCAACCTTGGCGTACATCAGGAGAGATCTGGCTACTGCACCGTCAACGTTGTACCAACCTTGGCGTACATCAGGAGAGATCTGGTTATCTGCACCGTCAACGTTGTACCTACCTTGGCGTACACCAGGAGAGATCTGGCATCTGCACCGTCCATGTTGTACCAACCTTGGCGTACACCAGGAGAGATCTGGCATCTGCACCGTCCATGTTGGCGCATACAGTACCAACCTTGGCGTACACCAGGAGAGATCTGGCATCTGCACACCATGTTGTACCAACCTTGGCGTACACCAGGAGAGATCTGGCATCTGCACCGTCCATGTTGTACCAACCTTGGCGTACACCAGGAGAGATCTGGCATCTGCACCGTCCAACGTTGTACCGACCTTGGCGTACACCAGGAGAGATCTGGCTTCTGCACCGTCAACGTTGTACCAACCTTGGCGTACACCAGGAGAGATCTGGCTTCTGCACCGTCCATGTTGTACCAACCTTGGCGTACACCAGGAGAGATCTGGCATCTGCACCGTCCATGTTGTACCTACCTTGGCGTACACCAGGAGAGATCTGGCTTCTGCACCGTCAACGTTGTACCAACCTTGGCGTACACCAGGAGAGATCTGGCATTCTGCACCGTCAACGTTGTACCAACCTTGGCGTACACCAGGAGAGATCTGGCATCTGCACCGTCAACGTTGTACCTACCTTTGGCGTACACCAGGAGAGATCTGGCATCTGCACCGTCAACGTTGTACCAACCTTGGCGTACACCAGGAGAGATCTGGCATCTGCACCGTCCATGTTGTACCTACCTTGGCGTACACCAGGAGAGATCTGGCATCTGCACCGTCCATGTTGTACCAACCTTGGCGTACACCAGGAGAGATCTGGCTTCTGCACCGTCAACGTTGTACCTACCTTGGCGTACACCAGGAGGGATCTGGCATCTGTCACATGTTGTACCAACCTTGGCGTACATCAGGAGAGATCTGGCTTCTGCACCGTCAACGTTGTACCAACCTTGGCGTACACCAGGAGGGATCTGGCATCTGTCACATGTTGTACCAAGCTTGGCGTACACCAGAAGGGATCTGGCATCTGTCACATGTTGTACCAGCCTTGGCGTACATCAGGAGAGATCTGGCTACTGCACCGCCAACGTTGTACCTACCATGGCGTACACCAGGAGAGATCTGGCATCTGCACCGTCCATGTTGTACCTACCTTGGCGTACACCAGGAGAGATCTGGCATCTGCACCGTCCATGTTGTACCAACCTTGGCGTACACCAGGAGAGATCTGGCATCTGCACCGTCCATGTTGTACCTACCTTGGCGTACACCAGGAGAGATCTGGCTACTGCACCGTCAACGTTGTACCCAACCTTGGCACACACCAGGAGAGATCTGGCATCTGCACCGTCAACGTTGTACCAACCTTGGCGTACACCAGGAGAGATCTGGCATCTGCACCGTCCATGTTGTACCTACCTTGGCGTACACCCAGGAGAGATCTGGCATCTGCACCGTCCATGTTGTACCAACCTTGGCGTACACCAGGAGAGATCTGGCTTCTGCACCGTCCATGTTGTACCAACCTTATGCGTACACCAGGAGAGATCTGGCATCTGCAACCGTCCATGTTGTACCAACCTTGGCGTACACCAGGAGAGATCTGGCTTCTGCACCGTCAACGTTGTACCAACCTTGGCGTACACCAGGAGAGATCTGGCATCTGCACCGTCCATGTTGTACCAACCTTGGCGTACACCAGGAGAGATCTGGCATCTGCACCGTCCATGTTGTACCAACCTTGGCGTACACCAGGAGAGATCTGGCATCTGCACCGTCCATGTTGTACCTACCTTGGCGTACACCAGGAGAGATCTGGCATCTGCACCGTCCATGTTGTACCAACCTTGGCGTACACCAGGAGAGATCTGGCTTCTGCACCGTCAACGTTGTACCAACCTTGGCGTACACCAGGAGGGATCTGGCATCTGCACCGTCCATGTTGTACCAACCTTGGCGTACATCAGAGAGATCTGGCTTCTGCACCGTCAACGTTGTACCAACCTTGGCGTACACCAGGAGAGATCTGGCATCTGCACCGTCCATGTTGTACCTACCTTGGCGTACACCAGGAGAGATCTGGCATCTGCACCGTCCATGTTGTACCAACCTTGGCGTACACCAGGAGAGATCTGGCATCTGCACCGTCCATGTTGTACCTACCATGGCGTACACCAGGAAAGATCTGGCATCTGCACCGTCCATGTTGTACCTACACCTTGGCGTACACCAGGAGAGATCTGGCTTCTGCACCGTCCATGTTGTACCTACCTTGGCGTACACCAGGAGATCTGGCATCTGCACCGTCCATGTTGTACCTACCTTGGCGTACACCAGGAGAGATCTGGCATCTGCACCGTCCATGTTGTACCTACCTTGGCGTACACCAGGAGAGATCTGGCATCTGCACCGTCCATGTTGTACCAACCTTGGCGTACACCAGGAGAGATCTGGCATCTGCACCGTGCATGTTGTACCTACCATGGCGTACACCAGGAGAGATCTGGCATCTGCACCGTCCATGTTGTACCTACCTTGGCGTACACCAGGAGAGATCTGGCATCTGCACCGTCAACGTTGTACCACCTTGGCGTACACCAGGAGAGATCTGGCATCTGCACCGTCCATGTTGTACCTACCTTGGCGTACACCAGGAGAGATCTGGCATCTGCACCGTCCATGTTGTACCTACCTTGGCGTACACCAGGAGAGATCTGGCTTCTGCACCGTCCATGTTGTACCTACCTTGGCGTACACCAGGAGAGATCTGGCATCTGCACCGTCCATGTTGTACCAACCTTGGCGTACACCAGGAGAGATCTGGCTTGTGCACCGTCAACGTTGTACCAGCCTTGGCGTACACCAGGAGGGATCTGGCATCTGCACCGTCCATGTTGTACCTACCTTGGCGTACACCAGGAGAGATCTGGCATCTGCACCGTCCATGTTGTACCTACCTTGGCGTACACCAGGAGAGATCTGGCATCTGCACCGTCCATGTTGTACCTACCTTGGCGTACACCAGGAGAGATCTGGCATCTGCACCGTCCATGTTGTACCTACCTTGGCGTACACCAGGAGAGATCTGGCATCTGCACCGTCAACGTTGTACCTACCTTGGCGTACACCAGGAGGGATCTGGCATCTGTCACATGTTGTACCAACCTTGGCGTACATCAGGAGAGATCTGGCTTCTGCACCGTCAACGTTGTACCAACCTTGGCGTACACCAGGAGAGATCTGGCATCTGCACCGTCCATGTTGTACCTACCTTGGCGTACACCAGGAGAGATCTGGCATCTGCACCGTCCATGTTGTACCAACCTTGGCGTACACCAGGAGAGATCTGGCATCTGCACCGTCCATGTTGTACCTACCATGGCGTACACCAGGAGAGATCTGGCATCTGCACCGTCCATGTTGTACCTACCTTGGCGTACACCAGGAGAGATCTGGCATCTGCACCGTCCATGTTGTACCTACCTTGGCGTACACCAGGAGAGATCTGGCATCTGCACCGTCCATGTTGTACCTACCTTGGCGTACACCAGGAGAGATCTGGCATCTGCACCGTCCATGTTGTACCTACCTTGGCGTACACCAGGAGAGATCTGGCTTCTGCACCTTCCATGTTGTACCTACCTTGGCGTACACCAGGAGAGATCTGGCATCTGCACCGTCCATGTTGTACCAACCTTGGCGTACACCAGGAGAGATCTGGCATCTGCACCGTCAACGTTGTACCAACCTTGGCGTACACCAGGAGAGATCTGGCATCTGCACCGTCCATGTTGTACCTACCTTGGCGTACACCAGAGAGATCTGGCATCTGCACCGTCCATGTTGTACCTACCTTGGCGTACACCAGGAGAGATCTGGCATCTGCACCGTCCATGTTGTACCTACCTTGGCGTACACCAGGAGAGATCTGGCATCTGCACCGTCCATGTTGTACCTACCTTGGCGTACACCAGGAGAGATCTGGCATCTGCACCGTCCATGTTGTACCTACCTTGCGCGTACACCAGGAGAGATCTGGCATCTGCACCGTCCATGTTGTACCTACCTTGGCGTACACCAGGAGAGATCTGGCATCTGCACCGTCAACGTTGTACCAACCTTGACGTACACCAGGAGAGATTTGGCATCTGCACCGTCCATGTTGTACCTACCTTGGCGTACATCAGGAGAGATCTGGCTTCTGCACCGTCAACGTTGTACCAACCTTGGCGTACACCAGGAGGGATCTGGCATCTGTCACATGTTGTACCAACCTTGGCGTACATCAGGAGAGATCTGGCTTCTGCACCGTCAACGTTGTACCAACCTTGGCGTACACCAGGAGGGATCTGGCATCTGTCACATGTTGTACCAAGCTTGGCGTACACCAGAAGGGATCTGGCATCTGTCACATGTTGTACCAACCTTGGCGTACATCAGGAGAGATCTGGCTTCTGCACCGTCAACGTTGTACCAACCTTGGCGTACACCAGGAGGGATCTGGCATCTGTCACATGTTGTACCAACCTTGGCGTACACCAGGAGAGATCTGGCTACTGCACCGTCCATGTTGTACCTACCTTGGCGTACACCAGGAGAGATCTGGCATCTGCACCGTCCATGTTGTACCTACCTTGGCGTACACCAGGAGAGATCTGGCTTCTGCACCGTCCATGTTGTACCTACCTTGGCGTACACCAGGAGAGATCTGGCATCTGCACCGTCCATGTTGTACCTAACCTTGGCGTACACCAGGAGAGATCTGGCATCTGCACCGTCATGTTGTACCAACCTTGGCGTACACCAGGAGAGATCTGGCTACTGCACCGTCAACGTTGTACCTACCATGGCGTACACCAGGAGAGATCTGGCATCTGCACCGTCCATGTTGTACCTACCTTGGCGTACACCAGGAGAGATCTGGCATCTGCACCGTCCATGTTGTACCTACCTTGGCGTACACCAGGAGACATCTGGCATCTGCACCGTCCATGTTGTACCTACCTTGGCGTACACCAGGAGAGATCTGGCTTCTGCACCGTCAACGTTGTACCAACCTTGGCGTACACCAGGAGAGATCTGGCATCTGCACCGTCCATGTTGTACCTACCTTGGCGTACACCAGGAGAGATCTGGCATCTGCACCGTCCATGTTGTACCTACCTTGGCGTACACCAGGAGAGATCTGGCATCTGCACCGTCCATGTTGTACCTACCTTGGCGTACACCAGGAGAGATCTGGCATCTGCACCGTCCATGTTGTACCAACCTTGGCGTACACCAGGAGAGATCTGGCATCTGCACCGTCCATGTTGTACCTACCTTGGCGTACACCAGGAGAGATCTGGCATCTGCCCCGCCAACGTTGTACCAACCTTCACACGTACACCAGGAGAGATCTGGCATCTGCACCGTCCATGTTGTACCAACCTTGGCGTACACCAGGAGAGATCTGACATCTGCACCGCCAACGTTGTACCAACCTTGACGTACACCAGGAGAGATCTGGCATCTGCACCGTCCATGTTGTACCAACCTTGGCGTACACCAGGAGAGATCTGGCATCTGCACCGCCAACGTTGTACCTACCTTGGCGTACACCAGGAGAGATCTGGCATCTGCACCGTCCATGTTGTACCTACCTTGGCGTACACCAGGAGAGATCTGGCATCTGCACCGCCAACGTTGTACCAACCTTGACGTACACCAGGAGAGATCTGGCATCTGCACCGTCCATGTTGTACCTACCTTGGCGTACACCAGGAGAGATCTGGCATCTGCACCGTCCATGTTGTACCTACCTTGGCGTACACCAGAAGAGATCTGGCATCTGCACCGTCCATGTTGTACCAACCTTGGCGTACACCAGAAGAGATCTGGCATCTGCACCGTCCAAGTTGTACCAGAACCTGACACAGTAGGCAGGGGCGGGTTGGAAGTCGGGGGAGGCGAGGTAGAAGGTTCTGTTGGTCCTATGGTAGTCGTAATCTCCTGATGTCGGATCAATGTACATGTAGGTTCCTGCAATGCATTCACAAAACGATTGTCGTGCTAAGACGATTGTAACGCCCATACTTTAACATATATTTATGTCACCCCTCCTATCCTCGATATGTGTTGCATGTCAGTCAATCTGATTTTGATGAAAACCGATAACAGCGGTACACAATGTCATTTAGAAGCCGCTGTGGCCGAGTGGGTAAAACTTTGTACGCTGGCAATTATGTGCCTGAATCTGACAGCGAGGGTTCGAATCTTGGATGGGACTCAACCTAAAACTACTAGAATCTGTACTTTTAAGTGCAATCCCAAACAAAACCCATGTGCCATGTTATCAATGAGGGTTATGGATAATTTCCGAGTAGGCTATGCATGGGTGGATCTCTAACATTTCTTTGGAACTTGAGATATCAATATAACTGAAATATGGGAACCTTTTTCCAAGAGTGGTTGTTTTGTCCATTGTATATATGGCGACAAATAGAGGCGCCTTGACACCAATGAATTTCAGCTGTATGGCGACAGACAAGTAGAGGCGCCTTGACACAGATGAGTTTCAGCTGTATGGCGACAGACAAGTAGAGGCGCCTTTGACACCACCAATGAGTTTCTTAGCTGTATGGTGACAAGTAGAGGCGCCTTGACACAGATGAGTTTCAGCTGTATGGCGACAAGTAGAGGCGCCCTTGACACAGATGAGTTTCAGCTGTATGGCGACAAGTATAGGCGCCTTGACACAGATGAGTTTCAGCTGTATGGCGACAAGTAGAGGCGCCTTGGCGACACAGATGAGTTTCAGCTGTATGGCGACAAGTAGAGGCGCCTTGACACAGATAAGTTTCAGCTGTATGGCGACAAGTAGAGGCGCCTTGACACAGATGAGTTTCAGCTGTATGGCGACAAGCAGAGGCGCCTGACAAGTAGAGGCGCCTTGACACCAATGAGTTTCAGCTGTATGGCGACAAGTAGAGGCGCCTTGGCACAGATGAGTTTCAGCTGTATGGCGACAAGTAGAGGCGCCTTGACACCAGATGAGTTTCAGCTGTATGGCGACAAGAGGCGCCTAGAGGGCGCCTTGACACAGATGAGTTTCAGCTGTATGGCGACAAGTAGAGGCGCCTTGACACAGATGAGTTTCAGCTGTATGGCGACAGACAAGTAGAGGCGCCTTGACACCGATGAGTTTCAGCTGTATGGTGACAAGTAAAGGCGCCTTGACACAGATGAGTTTCAGCTGTATGGCGACAAGTAGAGGCGCCTTGACACAGATGAGTTTTATTGTTGTTTTACGCCGCTCACACGATGTTTCATCTGTATGGCGGCGGTCTGTCACTAATCTGTGCCAAACAATCTAGTGACTGACTTTCGGGGCATCTGGGGGACGATGATATGCATCGATCCTCTTACGACAACTCTGGGATGCTGCAGACCACCCTTGAAGCCTATAAAGTTTCCACCTGAGCCCTTAACTCTTCCCAGCATGACTTCTACAATCGTATATGTGGTATAACCTTACCCTTTGGTGCGCCAGTTGTGTGGTCTTCTTGAGGGCCGATATAACGGTTCTCTATACCATGCCCAATCTTCCACTTGTTCACAGAACTAAGATCAGTGTATCCGCAATTGGTATTCTCGAATGTGCACAATGACACCGTGTAGTCATCTGAAGCTGAAATACAGTACGTAATACGTGTACGTATTTAACTAAGTTTATAACTGATTACTTTTTAAAAATATACGTTTTAAAGCCGAGTATATTTCTGTTGGAGACTATTTGGTTAATTGAGACTGGTATCACTATGGACACAGCTGCATACTGTATTCAGCTTTGTCGTCAAGATACACTTTTACTACCTTACGGCAGACTATAGCTGACTAAGTTCTGTGTAGCAGTGTTTTATCTTGTCTGACCTGAAGTTTTACAACCATGTTTTCATGAAGTTTATTAAGTACTACAATAGGGAAGAGTATAGAGCGACCTGTGGACTGGCTGACATTGCTTGTTCGCAGACCAAGAACGCCTTTACAGTTGTTGAGGTCTCGCGTCAGGTTGGCGATTTCCTCCTTATATTTCTGAATGGCATTGGCCGACTGCTGTACAAGTTGTGCCAGGTTGGTCTGTGACGTGTTCAGTGCTGCCGCCTTGGCAGTCAGCTCTTGCAGTAACTGGTCCCTCTCATTGGTTGTTTTGTTCAGTAAGACGGACGCTGATTGGTTCATTCCTAGTTTCTGCTGAACTCCATGCATCTGCTTCACGAGGTCGTCCACCACGCCCTGTAGATTGTTCATGTTGCCCTGGAATGAAAGTCTCAGAGTCAATCAGACGCCCCCAGTGTACCTTCTGTATATAACTAAAACATACACCTCAGAGAGAACGATGTTGACGGAATTAGTCGAACGGGCCGTAACCGTCTGTCGGAATGCCCCGTGTTAACCAGTTCGATGTCACATGATTAGAAATCACATTCCGACTCTCATTTTCCCGAACTCGTAAAAGATACTCTGATTGGTGAAGTGAACGGTCGTTCTGACGTGGTCGGTAATGGGATGTCCTGGGATGCTTAGCGATAGCGAGAACTTTGATCTGATCTTTATGAGGTTGGTTGTAAGTAACACCTCCAGCTACTACTGCTCCATATATGGCGTGTACAGCAGAGCAGGTACATGAAGGGGAGTAACCTCCCTTGGGTCGATACCGTAGCGGACGACATGGTATCGACTGTAAAGTGTAGGTCTTTATCCCATGCCGCTTAAAAGGGACAAATGATTACCCGAAATTCTCTTTAACAAAACCTTTAAAACCGACTGTCCCACGTCAGAATGTTTAGTCTAGACAAGAAACCCCACCTGTACGGCATTGCAGCAGTTGTCCGAACCCTCCGGTAGTGGTCGCTGTTCTCTGGGTATCACACTGACCCTCGTGTCCCAGTTTGACGTTGTAGACACATTGGTTGTTCATGAAGCTGCATCCAGGCTCGAACACGGCGAGAGAGGACGACAGAAGCAGTAGCGTTACTCCCCAAACCAGCAACGCCATGTTGAATATGTCATGTGTATTACGCTATCTAAGATGCAGATTGTCGGTGTCCACTGTCCACTGTGGTATCAAGTGGCTGATATATACGTCACACAGATACGACGGCCTCAGTCTTCCCTGTTCCTCACGGCGTTTAACTTCGGGTATCTGTGTCTGTCTATCTACTATTCGGTGCGCCCCCTCAAGATCCGGGTCAGAATTGGCTTTCGGCAACCTATGCCAGTCGCAAGAGGCTATTAACGGGAACGGGTGGACAGGCTCGCTGTGTTGGTTGACGGGTGGACAGGCTCGCTGTGTTGGTTGACGGGTGGACAGGCTCGCTGTGTTGGTTGACGGGTGGACAGGCTCGCTGTGTTGGTGGACATATGTAATGCAATGTCATCGTATCGCAGTTGCGTAGATCGAAGCTGAGGATGGTCCAGACTCGATATTTCACAGTCTTCAATTATCTTAATCAATTGATGGTCGTCAAATTGGAACAAAAATATGTTCGTGTTTTGTAAAATGTGAAAGTGAAACAAGTATCAGCTGAAGGTTCTATTTCTATATACGTATCATGTGTGTTGTTTATGGTTGGTTCAGTTCATGCTGTTTGAGCAGTCCTATTGCTCTGTACTTCTATGATAAGAGCAGGGTTATATGAGGCTGGTTTGTGTAGCTCACTAGAGGCAATCCACAGTCTTGTCTATGTGGGGTATGTATTGGGGTTCGTTTAACAATTAATGTCAACTGTGTATTCGACACTAAGTTCTTTAGTTCTTTTGGTCTCTCATATAACACAGCATTGGCGGATCCAGAGAGGAGGGGGGAGGGGGGGGTTCGAACTCCCCTTTGAAAATAACTTAAGTCCACGTTGAAGATTTTTGTTTGCGTTGGTGGAGCCAATGGGGGGTTCAGAGGGGTCGAACGCCTGTTGTGCCTTGTGCGTTTAAGGGCACAACAAACGCCCATGCACAGGGTATCACACGGGTTATCATACGGTACCCCAGCCGCCGCCCACCCGGTTTACCAGCCTACATTCACAATGTGTAAGAAGGTGAATCAGTTACATGTAAATCTCTTGACTATTATAACCAGGATATTTAGAGTTGAAAACATTATATATATTTTATAAATATTTAAGGAAAATTTGAAGTCAAGTTAAGAAGGGTGAATGTACTGGGAAAGTGCATTGACCAAGCTAACCGAACTGTTATTGATTCACTTTTCTTGGGGGAATAACAAATTCTCTGAATTGACATAAATGAGGGTGAAACGTTCAAACTGGTGTTTCTACACAAATTGGGTGGATGGACATTTGGGATACAGATGGTCAGTTTGGTCAGTTTGTCAATAAAGGGGCACGCATAGGATCTGAAATGATTTGATAAAGTATTTTCTAGCGCCTACCAATCTGAGATATTAGTTAGATATGTCATGGTTTGGTTGATGTATGGCTTAAGGATAACTAGCAATGTCATTTTATCACTGGAAGAAATTGATGGTACCAAATAAAGTCTCCGGAAGGGACTAATGAAAGTAACTAATTATCAAGATTGGATATGAGTTATTTCTGTAGGAGGTAGGACATCATTTCGGGGGGAGGAGGCAAAAATTGTGAAGAGAACCAAAACTTAGCTGACTGAGGGAGAGCGGGGGACTCTAGGCCCCTCCGTTGACTTGAGAGGTTCTCTCCGTATATTGAGAGAATGGCTCAGATGAAATTGTAACTTTAGGAGTTGTACAAGAAACCAACAAGTTCTTCCAGGAGATTTGTGAATCTGTGTTGCATGTAAACTAGGAAAGCTAGGTAGTTTCTGAGGACCTTTGTGAAAGGATTCATGCTAAAATAAATGGACTTGAACACCATACCGGACTTAACCTTCACTATTCATCTTAGCTACATCATCCCCAGAACCAGAGTGGCTAGACAGATTGCCTAGGGAGGAATGGTAGAACACCCTGAAACCCCAGGTAACACTATAAATATGTCAAACGTAATCAATTATACATCGCTTAAGCTATTTAATCTAATTTAATCTCGAATAGATAAAGTCCATACATGGCACGACATTGAATGTCACCTCTGACGAACAGTTATCCGACAAGACTTCCAGATTCAACAGCATCTGTCTCACAGATGAAATTGTGACGCAAATCACAGAATTCGTCGTTCCACTTGAAGCCGAGACTTCGGGTCAAGGTCAGACATGCCTGTCGTTCGCCATTATTGCTAATGTACTCTGGTGACCCAGGATTCCACCACGTCTGACCAACCTTTCCTCCCTTGAATCCCCACTGCCACTCCCCCCTCACGAGGTATTCAATGGCCCCCAGCCACACGTACCCAGTGCTCAGACTGGATGAAGATCTGCCTCGAGGAAGGTCTGTTCTGCTGCTGTTTCCACATACGCCAGGTGAGCGCCCACAGCTTGGCAATACACAGCAGCCTCTGCCCAGCTTGCCTTGATGAGAATAAGTGCATAACATGATTCGTCATGCCGTAAATAGCCAGACGGACATTCTCCGACGACGGCCCCGAGCACCGTACACAAGAAGACCAGCACTTTCAGAAGGAACATGGTGCTTAGCGCAAGACTCTGAGAGTTGATGGTCTGTGAACAATTAAGTAACAAGATAAAGTTTGCTCGTCAGTTTATAAACGTATCTTATCGCATTCCTGGACCACTTTAGAGAGGTGCAGCTCAGCACCTGTTGTTAAACTCGTTCAAAAAGTCTAATAAACTCAGTGAACTAAGCAACGTTTCCATTGTAACTAGACACGTATAACCGAAACGTATGTTCAGTGGAGGACATTATCTATAAAACATTTCTGATGAATATCAGTGTATGAAATAAGGCCCGTCCAACAGCCCGAGACGGTCTAGATTTCTGACGGACGGTCTAAATTTACAGCTAGCCAGCCCGATGGTCTGGTAAAAATTGTAGATGTTCCATATATCTAAGTAAAATTACCATATTTGGTCTGGTGATATCCATTTTGGGCTGGTAACATTTTGAAGTTACCAGCCCTGATGTCTGGCTGGGTTTTTGGCTTATTTCATACACTGCAAACATGCAATTGTTATCTTAAACAAAGTAACGATTGTTACGTCATAGTTCCAGACTTTCTACCTGAGATGTGACAGGTGGGACAATCTGTGTCAGGTCATGCCAACCCAAGTCGACACTTTGCCCAAGGCTACATCGTCTGAATAATATCAGCTTCACACTTGGAACAGTATCGACATTCAACCAAACTGTTCTCACTCTGTTCTGCCCCGAAGGTCAGCAAAACGACGGTGTCGGTAACCTAAGTTAACAATCCTCGCTTAGGGCCAACTGATTTGCTGTTCTATTGACGTGTCTGCACCCCTACGTTATTACCAGAAAAACAAATGATAAAGAGTTTGATGGCGGTTTACGTTTGTGTTAAATATCTTCTTTGAATTATTTCAATTGCATCTATGATTAACGTTAACCATATGGGGCAATATGAACGTCGCATTTCTTCTATCAACGTAAGTTTAGAAACCATACATCCAGATGAAGCTGACTTGTCACGCGACATTCAACGGATGCATTGTGGGAATGTAAACATTGCCAACGTTGCCGTGTCGCTGTTTAATTGTGAGTCGAGCTGAGACATTTTATCCGTCGAAACATATAAACGTATTGTTTCCAGCAGTGATGTTAGCCGAGTGAAGCAACTGCAAAGCAAGAAACGGTGTGCTTCGGTGTAGTTTACTGTTGGAGGTTGTACGAGGCGATGACAACTGACATGCATGGTGACGTCGGTTACCAAGGGTACGGTTGATAACGAGGGGGCAAGCGAGAATGTCACAATACAGTGTGACGTCATGCAAAAAGTGTACATTATCGCCTGATAAACTACTGTCGGCGCCTTTGATAACGTTTCTTTAGCCAGTCAATAGACCGATCCAGTCTGTCAATCAAAACTGGCGCATGCGTCAATTTTGGCCAATCAGCAGGCCGGGCGCGCTGTGTGGATTTGTCAGACTTATTTCCGGGGTCAAACGATGCATCCGAAGCGATGTGCTTCGAATTATGCCACTTACACTCGCTATATTTATTACATATTGCTGCGATTTGATGTGTACCTTAACCAAACCATTACGGTCAAGACAACAAAAAATGGAGGCGGATCAAGAAACGCGATAGGCCTGACGATCAGTTAAATGTCTGCACCATCGTTCAGGAAACCTACGTCTGCCTGCTGATGAGAATTTGCACGAATTTCCACACTTTTGCACATGGTCAAAATCATTACCAATTGATGACAACAAATAGCAGTTTAAGACTTTGCAAGTGTTATAAACACGGACAATTCTTGTAACTACAAAAATGTTTTTGCTTAACGTTTTTAGTCACTACTAGGCATTGAGTTGGTACGCCATAAGGCTCAAATGAGACAGGCGAGAAAGCCGTGACACAATGTAAATAAATCCTCATTTCGGTTAGGGTCAACCGAAATATCAAACTTGTTACATGAAAGAACAATGTGGCGGATATTGTCCCGTTCGCTCTTAGATATTCTTCAATTTGTCACACATTTTAGGATGTTTTTAAGTTTCATAAGCACAATCCGAAGGCCTACAGTATCTTGTTAACAGAGCGAAATATTCGAGGAGTAATATTTTATATTCAAACGGAAATATTGTCAGTGTCAGCAGTTGCCTATCATGCCATATCCAAGTATCAAAATTAATTCATATGAGTGCCTATAAAACCATGCCTTAAATATTTCAGATTTTTTATAAAGAGTTGCATGGGACTTTGAACTGAATAACCTTCCTCCAGGTTGATCGAATACGAAAACTATGTGAGAAGAACAG